TAATACTTGTGCTAGCTATTTCTTGGTAACAATATAGGCAACCATATACTGTTATTTTTGTATTATTTTAGATGCTCATATATTTTTTGTTTCAACTCCTCTTTTTCAGTTAGAGAGCTTTATTCTTTCTGAGAAGGCACAGGAAAGGATTCCTTGTTTGGGAATGAGAACAATTCAACAGCTATGCTGGCTTTCTCCACTGCTGACACCCTCTGATTTGCCTTTATAGACTCAGCTACTTCTGGCAAGGATTTGATTTCTTTGCCCTGTGTAGATTTTGCAGTTCTTCCAATTTTGTTTCTATGAATATTTTATATTATAAATCAACGTTGGTCTGCTAGACTCTGTTCTGTAATTTCTGGGTGTTTTTTTTTTTTCCAGAACTGGTGTCTTTTTTCAGATATTCTCATTGGATTTGATTTGTAATAATAGATCATTATTGCTTTGTTTTTAGTCTTTGTATATTTGTGATGGGCAAGCAACTTTTCCTCTAGTAGCGCTACAGCTGCTGGCCCTGATTCCTCAGTCAATAGTCTTGAGTCTTATAACCTCATTAGTCACCAGCTGTTCAGGAATTCCAACACCTAATGTGGTGCTTGTTGACCTAGGTGACGAGTGATCTGGTATGGGTTTCTGTACACTATGTCTCTCTGTATTGTTTACTCACTTTGTCCGGATCCTCTGATGAGATCTACTCAGTATGGTTGGACCTCTGGTATAGATCTTCTCAAAGCTTCTCATCTCTCTCAAAGCCATTCTCTTTCCTGGGCCTCCCTGCACTTGCATGCACTTTGTCCCTTTATGAAGATAACAGGACTGCCTGGATTGCCTTGTTAAGTGATGTGGTTATGTGACATCATGCTTTACAATCGCATGAGAGGATTTACAATGGCAATACTGTCCCAATTGCAACTGTAACTCAAGGACTATCTGTATTCTGTCTTTCACTGGCTAGTTATGGAAGTTGTTTTTCAGGAACCACACTGAATAACGGGAGTTGAAAGCCACTTATCTGCACTTGATGCACAGCAGCAGCTAACTGAAGGAGCCTCTATTCTTGCAGATATCTGACATTATTATTAGCTAAACGTATAATTTATAGAAAAATCTTATACATTTCTCGTTTTTTGGTTATTTAAATAGGAAAGCACTATAGATGGCAATTTCTGAAGATTCCAAATTGGTTACTTACCCATTCTTTTTCCTGAAGTTACAATATTTCCATTTGATCCAACTCCAGAAGACTAAAATTTAAAGGGTGGAAAGAATAATGAAGGTGAACACAAGCAATGAATAAATGAATTACAATATTTTAAATACATTACATCTACAAAATCTGAGTCTTAAATTCTTGGTTGCAAACAACTGAACTCTAATAGTAGAGAAAAAAAGAAATGCAAATATATTCTGTAAACTGCTACACTATGCTAGCTAGAATTTATTCAAAATATATTTATACAACTTAATAAAGTTCATTGTAAAACATGTATAATAATACAATAGTAAAACAGAGAATGCAATTGCCTAGCATAGCATGAGGGATTTAAAAAACTCTAATTAAACATCAGTGTTAAATCAATTTGACTAATTTTTATTAGATTCATATCTCACTTGTTTTTTTTACAACTCAAGCTGCCTCCTATCATGGTAATAATAATAATAATAATAATAATAATAGTAATAATAATAGTAATAATAATAGTAATAGTAGTAGTAAAGTTGGAAGGGACCTCGGAGGTCATCTAATCCAACCCCCTGCTCAGGCAGGAAACCCTACACCATTTCGGACAAATGGCTGTCCAGTCTCTTCTTAAAAACTTCCAGTGTTGGAGCATTTACTGGTACTTCAGTACTCATCATTAGTTGGTTCCAGGAGATGTGATGAGTACCAAACAAATTTTTCCCATAAGATACAATGTATTGAGTCACAGTTGTAGTCGTGTGTCGACTACCGAACGACTGATGAGTACCAGGACAAAATTTTCATTCAAAATGCATTGAATACCAAAATGCAATGAGTTTCAAAGTGGGTGAGTACTAAAGTATTACTCTATTTTCTCCACAACATCTGGATGGAATCGAGTTGGCTAAGAATCATCTAGCCCAGTGGTTCTCAACCTTTCTAATGCCGCGACCCCATAATACAGTTCCTCATGTTGTGGTGACCCCCAACCATAAAATTATTTTCGTTTCTATTTCATAATTGTAATTTTGCTACTGTTATGAATCGCAATGTAAATATCTGATATGCAGGATGTATTTGCATTGAACATAATTAAAGCATAGTGATTAATCACAAAAACAATATGTAATTATATATTGTTAAATATTTATTTTTAATTACAAAAAAACAAAATTTTGTCTTGAAGCATGGTGTAGCATGGGTGACAGTCTTAATATAACAACAGTAAACTACATCCACATGGAAAGAAGTAAGCAGTGGGGTACCACAAGGTTCTGTCTTAGGCCCAGTACTCTTCAATATCTTCATCAGTAATTTAGATGAGGGGACTGAAGGGGAACTCATCAAATTTACAGATGACACCAAATTGACAGGAGTAGCCAACACCCCAGAAGACAAATTCAGGAACCAAAAAGATCTTGACAAACTTGAACAACGGGCCCTATCCAACAAAATGAGTTTCAATGTGGAGAAAAGTAAAGTCTTACATTTAGGCAGAAAAAACCAAAGGTACAAGTACAGATTGGGCGAGACCTGGCTTAACAACAATAACTGTGAGAGGGACCTTGGAGTCCTAGTGGACAATCACTTGACTATGAGCCAGCAATGTGCAGCTGCAACCAAAAAATCTAATACAATCCTGGGTTGTATAAACAGAGGCACCGCTTTATAAAATCCTAGTAAGACCACATCTGGAATATTGCAGCCAATTTTGGTCACCATATCACAAAAAAGATGTTGAGAATTTGGAAAAAAATCGGAGAAGAGCAACTAAGATGATCAAAGGCCTGGCGACTAAAACATGTGAAGAACAGCTGTGGGACTTAGGTTTGGCTAGTCTAAAGAAAAGAAGAAATAGAGGAGACATGATAGCAGTATTCCAGTATCTGAGGGGCTGCCACAAGGAAGAGAGGGTCAGGTTGTTCCCCAGAGCACCAGAGGGAAGGACAAGAAACAACGGTTGGAAACTGATGAAAGACAGAAGCAACCTGGAATTAAGGAGACACTTCCTGACAGTGAGGACAATCAACCAGTGGAACAGCTTGCCTCAAGAAATCGTGGGCACTCCATCATTGGAGATTTTTAAGAAGAGACTGGACATCCACTTGTCTGAGATGGTATAAATTCTCCAAGGTATAACCTCCAAGGTCTATTCTATTCTATTCTATTCTATTCTATTCGCTTGTAGCTCTGCAAGAAGAAAAGTATACCCAGGCAAGTTTATGCCAGAATATATTAAATGAATTCCCCCCCCCCCAGTTTTCCATCCGTGGGAGCACTGTCCTTGGCCTCAAGAAGATATGGATTCTGCCCAGTGAGCTTAAAGGAATAAAATTCGCCTTGGCTCCTGATGTCCCCCTGCTGAAACATTTTACTGCATGTAAGTGTCGTTAAATGTTCCCAATCAATCCCATCCAGCATTGTTTTCAAAGTCAGCTCTCCTCTCAGCGCATTGGAAGCAACATAAATAAGCACTGGCTGGTTCTCAGTCCAAAGTTTCTGCTCAGAGTTTGTAATTCAATACCCCTCTCTTTCCTATGGTAAACCTGCATTTGCCGTTTCACCGCTTCTTTCTATTCCCCTCCATCCCACCCATCCCACCCCCTACTCCCCTCCCTCAAGTCAGCATTAAACTTCCGTTCCGTCTGTTTCTGGCGAAAAAAAAAAGCTTTCCCAAAGAGAGCACCAAGTATACAGAGATCAGAAGTATGAACAGTGGCAGTAGCGCTGCTATGGTCGGGCTGCTCAGGCAAAGAGGATGGGCTACGAGAGGAGGAGAAGAACTTTGAGGCATTGCGCGGGCAAAGTGAGTGAGCTTTTTTTTTCTTTTGCAGAGCGTACTGGCAGGGAGGCGGGTGCGCTAACTCTCCTCTAAAGAAATAGCTACCGCGGGTGGGTGAGGAGAAGAGGACTCTGGTGGACCGCACGAGACAGAGGGGGGGAGGGAGAGGGGGGAGAGGGAGAGAGAGGGGGGAGAGGGAGATTAGTGCGCTTGAAATGTAACAAAATATGTGAACCTGCGTGGAAAGAGTACGTTACGTCTGTGTAACATCAAATTGATCTGTTTTTATCCCAAAACGGGGGGAGGGGGAAGCGTGCAAGGAAAGAAAGAGGCAATTTTACTTCTTTCCATTCCCATGGAAGTCGAACCTCTCCCCCCCTCCTCTGCTCTCCATCTCGCGTCCTTCTAGATTTGCCACAGCAAGGCGCAGGGCAACCACCGGCTGGGCCACCAGCTGGCCCAGACCAAGGGAGGTAAAGCACCCACCGGGCCCCATGCATGCCAGCAACCCTCCCTGTGCCCGCCGCTGCCCCGCTAGCTTTACCTTGGCAACTGCACGTTCGGTGCGGCGGAGGAAGGCCAGGCGCTCCTGGGTGGCCATGGCGTGTGGCAGCGAGGGCGCAGGGCAACCACCAGCTGGGCCACCAACTGGCCCAGCCCAAGGGAGGTAAGCTACCTGCCCGGCCCCACGTGCGCCAGCAACCCTCCCTGTGCCCGATGGCCTCCCATCCTTGGCCCTCTTTTACTTACTTTTAGTAGTTGCTCAGCAGGGAGGGAAGCTTTCCAGAAAATTCGCCTTGCAGCACCGTTTGCAGACTGGGGCTTTTGGCGGGCTCAGCAGGGCAGAGACAGCTTGGACAATTCCTATTGGCTTTTGAAAGCCAATAGAATTAGACTCTATTGAAGAGAGTCTATTCTATTGGCTTTCAAAAGCCAATAGATTCTATTGGCTTTCGAACGCCAATAGAATAGAGTCTCTTGAATAGAGTCTATTCTATTGGTTTTCAAAAGCCAATAGAATAAGAGGGAGTAGAGTAGCACAGCTAAGGAAAAGGAGAAAAAAATGGCGGACAGCCTTGTTTGGCGACTCCCATGAAATGGTCGTTCGACCCCAAATGGGGTCGCGACCTATAGGTTGAGAACCGCTGATCTAGCCAGCTTCCATTCTAGGAATTCATTTGCCTGGTTTCTAAATTATTATTAATCTAATTAGTATTATTAAATAGTACAAATCTAGTTTGTAAACCCTACACTAAGCTAAATTCTATAAGATAAGGACTCCACAAAGAAAGCTCTTTAACTTTGCTCACCAAATTTTTCAAATACCGTAATCAGGTGAATACATGCTACCTAGGACTTTGGTAGGTCCGTGTACAAAACTAAAGGGACCATTCTGTAAGACTAATCCAGAGCTGCCTCAAACTGTGAGATTGGTGGCCTATAAATTTAACAAACAAATAAATAACATATTTGCTTTCATAATAGTTTGTATAAATTTTTATTGTTGCTCAAAATAAATTTCAAGTGGTACCTTTTTAAAAAAAAAGATAGGTTCCTAGAAAAAAGGGTTAATATTAGATTGCCTTTAATATTGTTGCACTATACAAAGTCAACAGGACACGAAGGACCTTCCTCAAGATCTCAATGAGACTGTGAAAGACAACAGTAAAAATCAACTCAAGACAACTTGCATAACAAGTATGGCATATACCAAGGTGATGCATGGTCCCTGTTGCGGTTCTGCATAGACCTGAAACCCCTCAATCAAATTATCACAAGGATAATCACAACTCTTGGGCTCAATTTCTCCTCCCCTAGAATTGACAGGAATCTGCCAAAAGAGATCTACTGTTACATTGCGCCTCCCATTCTCAAACCCCATAGCCCAGTGGTGGCGAACCTTTTAGAGACCGAGAGCCCAAACTACAACCCAAAACCCACTTTTGCATCGTCGGGTGCCGGGTGGGCATGGCTATCGGGTGGCCGTGGCCACCAAGCTGTCGGCTTGTGCTCACTCATTCGTTTGCTGTCCAGTCCGACTCATGCTTGCTCTCTAGCTATCTGCAGCAAATGCTGCTTCCGCAGAACGTTGCTCCTTTTATAGCCTCTCGCCTATTCCCAAACTGTGCATGCGCGGAGAAGGGAGCAGCTCGGCCCAGCAATGGCTCGTGTGCCACCAGAGACGGCTCCGTGTGCCGCCTGTGGCACGCGTGCCATAGATTCGCCACCACGGCCATAGCCAGTTCAGGAGGATTAATAGTGCTGAAAGCAGTTAAGATCAAGAATCAGGACAGTCACACCACCACCCCATTCTGACTGTACTAGGGCAAGCATGATCAATACTATCTTAATGTTTAGACTGAAAATAATTTTTATAATCCATTTCTTCCAAGCCCCCTCTGGAGTTGCACCCCAACCACCTTTTTAAGAACCATCGTGTATGTACTTTGAAAAGCTACTTGATCTCAGCCCCATGGATATGATTATTCAATTAGTTCTCTATTTATCTAATGGCTGCATAATACAACCCATACCTTCTCTACTAGAATTTCATGTGAGACTGTCAAATGCTTTCATAAAGTCAAATTTTATTAGTAATTCTATCAAAAAAGAATATCAGGTTGGTTTGGCATGATTTGTTATTTGTTTATTTGTTATTTATAATCATGCTAGTTTCTGCCAAGCAATATATTATTTTCACAAACTCAATCTCTTCCAGAGTTTTGTCCACTATGAGCTGCAGTTATCCAGGTTCTCTTTTTTCTTTTTCTTGGAAGAGAGGTATAATATTTGAGTATCTTCAGTTCTCTGGCACTATACTCAACTGCTATGATTTCTCAAAGATATGAAAGGTTCTCATAAAAGAATCTTCAGAAATTCTCAGATGTAATGGATCTGGTACTGAAGTCTTGAGTTTCTTAGATGTTCCCTAACCATCTCCTTACTTACCTTGGATTGCCACTTCCTCCTTAACTGGTCTTCTTAGGTTCATTTGAACAGTTTGCCTTTAGAAAGAAGACCGAAGCAAAGTAGCGTTGAGAAGCTCTGCCATCTCATCACTTGTTACCATCTTATTTTTCCAGAAAGTGGCCCCACCCTTTCCTTTTTTCTTATTACTGACATTGTCGACTTTAGCTTCTCTTTTAAGCCTAAATTCCCGCTGCATTCCAGCCTTTATGACTTGATATCAAGTATTAATTACTTAAGTTTTTTTGACGATTGTATTAGTCATCCATTTCCTTTATTAGCCCTGTTAACCTTTACATATGAGAACTTCCCATTGTTTCCTAGTTTATGCCTAGTTTTTCTTCCCATTGGATTCATATGAGATTGTACAATTCTATGTGCAAAATCATAGAATCATAGAGCTGGAAGAGACCTTGGAGGTCTTCTAGTCTAACCCCCTGCCCAAGGCAGAAATCCTTATTCCATGCTTGACAAATGGTTACTCAAACATTTTTCATATGAAAAATGATTTTTTCTTCATTTTTTCATTTCATTTTCCAGATTTTCATGTATGTATACTTTCATTCAGATCTTTTACAGCTTTCTTTTGTTCCTCCACAACCCCTGCCACTTCATTCACTCCATCTTCCATAATCATGACCAGACAGGTCTACAGATATTTTCCTGGGCACTGGTCAATCAAGGTTTTCATTTGAATCTCCCCTAAGTCAGAATAACTTTTATTTGTATGAGTTATTTAATCAATATTTATCATATTAAAAATTGAAACTGATGCTATTGCCTCTCATGATTGTTTGATGGGATTTTAATATTGTATTATTTTTTTTTAACATAGGCTGGCAAATAATTTAGATTTTGTGGGTCACCAGGGGACCTCAGACCACATTTTGCTGTAGTGAATGGAATTGCCTCTTATTGTTACTCCCTGGTATATAATGGAATTGTCAAACAATGCAAGCGGAATCAGCTTGATTGAGTAAAACATTTTTAAAGCCAGCTAAGAGGAAAGTTTTACTCCTTATCATATTTAGTAATCCAACTTCCTTCTAATAGCAGGGTGTGAAACTCTTTAGCATGATCATATTCTGGTGAGTATGCCACAAGCATAACCAGAGCTCAGCTTAAATTGAGAAACCATTTTCATGGTATTCTTTGCAACGTTCAGGCTATTTTGCTGCCTGTATTTCACCAAACATGAGGAACATGTGGTGTGCTGCCAGGCTTTTAAGTAAGAAGTACCTTTATCTCCAGTACTGCCTGAACTTATTCCCATCACGTGCACAAAAAAATATGATCATCTTCAGGCAGTGGCATTACATCAAGAGGTTTTTATGTGAGCCAAAGACTAATAATACAGAATTACAGTTTTGCTTGTAACACTTTATATGTACTTCTTGCTGTAGTCATAGATAGCTAAGAGATGGTGCATATATTATTAGTAGCATATATTTTTCATGGTAGTGTACAGGAAGTCAACTTAAGACTGTTTGTTCAGCAACTGTTTAATAATGGTGAACGAAGGGAGTTATGATCCCTTCCTGAAATTATGGCTGTTGCAGCACCCCCAGGGTCACATGATCAAAATTATGACCATCTGCAGAGGTGCTGCAACTCCTCATACCTGCCTATCTCTCCCTCCAATCTATGCACTGAAAAACACTGGAAAAGCTTCAGTGGCACAAAGCAAAGCATCCATCCCCCACTCCCCAAGAGCCAAGCTCCAGAAATCTCCAAGTGGGACATAAAGCAGCTGCTCTGCAGGAAGTTCCAAACACCCCCGAGACTCCCAAGGCGGAGGGAGCATGAAGGAACCCCCCCCACACACACATGAAGTGTCAAACAGCTAAGAAACTCCAGCCCAGGACTGATGTGTGCATTCTACCATGTCAATTGACCTCCACCACTTTCGTCATCTCACTATTTACTGAGGTGTGTCCAGCTTGGCCCTTTGTAAAAAAGAAGAAAAATAATTGGGGAAGGCAGCCACTCATCTGCAGTGTCTTAAAATGTCCTTTTCCTGTGCTCCAAGGTGGGCTGGAGCATTCTAGTTCTGCCCTCAGAGCATGGGATAAAGGGCTCAAGCATTCTAGCTCTGCCCTTAGAGCAGTGGTTCTCAACCTGTGGGTCGAGACCCCATTTGGGGTCGAACGACCATTTCATGGGGGTCGCCAAACCATGCTGTCCACCATTTTGTTCCCTTTTCCCTAGCTGTCTTACTCCCTCTTATTGGTGGCCACACCCACTTGGGGGTCACCATAACATGAGGAACTGTGTTATGGGGTCACGGCATTAGAAAAGTTGAGAACCACTGCCTTAGAGCATGGGATTAAAGGACTCTTAAAGATAAATTTATTGTATTAAATATATAGAATATATTATTTTAGCATTTATTTTTCTTCTTCACAAAGAGCTACCATGGGCGCACCTTCCAAATAGTAGGACAAAGAACATGGTGAAGGTCAGCTGGCATGGTATAGAGCAGGGGTAGGCAACCTTGGCTCTTTTATGACTCGTGCATGTCCTGAGCATGGCTGGCTCAGGAATTCTGGGAGTTGAAGTCCACGAGTTGTAAAAGAGCCAAGGTTGCCTACCCCTGGTATAGAGTGTATGGCAGCTAGGGCGGCTGGGCTGGGTCTCCCCAGATGTTCTGTCTTACACATGTGGGATGGCTGCTTCACACTGCTGTTATGTCCTTGGAGTATGGATGGGCAATTCACTTTCTCAAAGGGCCACATGAGAAAGTGGGACTGTTGTAGAGGGTCACCTCTGCCCTACGCTGCTTTGCCCCTGCCGCTGTGCCATCCCCTTTGCTGATACTGCCCCATACCCCAGCCCTATCAGATGCTGCTAATACCACATTCGCCGCTGGGCTGGAGTGGGATCACCCGTGAGCCATATGTGGAACTCCCCACAGAGCAGCTGCTTTGCAATCCACTAGTCAACCTTCCTTTAGACCAGTGGTTCTCAACCTTTTTAATGCCGCGACCCCCAACCGGTCGTAAGTTGAGGACTACTCAACCGGTCGTAAGTCGAGGACTACTCAATTGGTGCAGCGTTTGCAGAATGGGACTTTTGGCAGGCTCAGCAGGGCAGAGACAGCCTGGACAATTCCTATTGGCTTTTGAAAGCCAATAGAATTAGACTCTATTCAAGAGAGTCTATTCTATTGGCTTTCAAAAGCCAATAGAATAAAAGGGAGTAGCACAGCTAAGGAAAAGGGGGAAAAAAATGGCGGACTGTGTTGTTCGGCGACCCCCGTGAAATGGTCGTTCAACCCCAAATGGGGTCCCGACACACAGGTTGAGAACCGCTGCTTTAGACAGCCACTGCTATTGGATGGTCTTTTATTGTCTGTTGGTACCTCTGGGGACCTTGTCAGACTTTCCAGGGCTTTCTGGCATTGTCAAAGGTTACTGCTACAGGGAGTGTTTGACTACTGCTGCAGAAGCCAATTTTGCTGACTTGTGTCTCTGGCTGTTGCTGGACTGATACTTCCATTGTTGGGATTATGCAGCTGCTCCTTGTATTGCTGGCTTGAATAGATTGGTTTAACTGTCATGGCTGCTGCTGGTTGAAGGGGGCTGCTGACACTACCCTTGGCTCTTCTGCCCCTTCCCTCTCCAGCTGTCACTTTTTCCTGGACTTTTGTATCTCCCCATCTGCAGCTTCTCCATGACATTGCTGATCCTCATCTTTATTTAATCCACATATCCTCCATTTCATCACACAACATAATTACATGTACCATACCATCCTTTTTATCAGTAGCAATGCTGCAAGGCCATAGTAAAGGAAAAAGGAATGAAATGATGCAGCAATGCATTTTCTGCATTGTGTTTCTTCCTGCCATGTTGCTTTTCATTGTATTTTTTTTTTAAATATTGCCCTGAAACTTCAGTAATATAAACTTAATTCACCTCTTACACTTGACTGGCAATCAGGATATTTTATTGTGGAATTATCCTTAGTGTCGCTGGCTTCTAATTCTAAGTAATCTGAACTGTTTTAATGATGATACCATTTCTATCTATCTCCCCTTGATGTCCTATTTTTGAACATCCGGGCTATGTACAATGTGTATGTTGACACATGAAAAAACCTTTCTGCTTTACTGCTTCTTAAAAATTGCTCTATGTCTTTTTTGTCTTTTGCATTCTTGGGGGGAAAAAGGGCAGAAGACAGTCCCTTTTCTCACAACTTACTAGATCCTTCTTCTCACATGGGAGGAGGTCATATGAATTTTACAGATCTTGTGCCAACGGATGAATAGTGAAGGCAAATGTTAAGAAATCCAGGTAGTCCTCGACTTACAACAGTTCACTTGGTGACCATTTGAAGTTACGACACTGAAAAAAGTGACTTATGACCATTTTTTACACTTAGGACCGGATGCTTAACAACTGACTCACATTTATAATGACTGCAGTGTCCCAGGGTCATGTGATCCCCTTTTGCAAACCTTTTGACAAACAAAGTCAATGGGGTAAGCCGATTCACTTAACAACTGTGTTGCTAATTTAACAACTACAGTGATTCATTTAACAAATGTGGCAAGAAAAGTTGTAAAATGGGACAAAACTCACTTAAAAATTTCTCACTTAACAACATAAATTTTGGGCTCAATTGTGGTCATAAGTTGAGGACTACCGGTAGTCATTCTGGCCAGAGAACCTCCCTGCTCTCTTGCATGTGATCACTAATCATATAAATAGAAAACATATGAATAGGTTCTGTAAAAGGATTCTTCCATCCAATTCTAAGGTCAGATTATATATGAAGAAAAAACAGATTTGTGCTTTCTCTTCATCTTTCCCCTCAAGGTGTGAGAAAGCATTATCTGGAAATTGTTACTAAATGACATATGAAGAACATCTGTTTATCTCATTTATAATTTGGAAGTAAAATGCCAAATCTTTCAACCTCATGAAACATGAGTGAGACAAGCTGTTCAGAACATGGATTGGCTAAATATAGGATAAATATACAGAACATTTTATCAACGTAAAAATATAAAATTCAAAGTTAATGAATATGCACAAAACATTTGAATGTAAAACACTTTGAATACATGTATAGAGAGACTGTTCTAATACAACTTTGAAACTGGCTGTCTCAATCGTTTTGGAAATGTATTACCATTCTTCTAATGCAGTGATTCTCAACCTTTCTAATGCCGTGACCCCATAATACAGTTCCCCATGTTGTGGTGACCCCCAAGTGGGTGTGGCCACCAATAAGAGGGAGTAGGACAGCTAGGGAAAAGGGAAAAAAATGGCGGACAGCACGGTTTGGCGACTCCCGTGAAATGGTCATTCGACCCCAAATGGGGTCTTGACCCACAGGTTGAGAACCACTGTTCTAATGGAATGAATATTTATATAGTAACTTCAGAGTAAACTATTTACTAGAAAACCAAACATAATTTACAAATCTGTGAAAATAAAACGTGAGTAAATCTGCCTCAGAAAATGGCCATTGTTTTAAAAAAAATCTAACACATCCAAGAATGGACCATTTATTGAATGGTAACTTTTCAATTCTGAAAGCCAAAATTCAAGCTTATTTAAATAATAGTGATATACATTGAGATTTTCCAATCTGACAAGTAGCCAATTTTGATTCTTGACAAATAGAGAGTAAACCCTATTACAAGTACAAATCTCACCTTTGTAAAAAATAAAGCATGAGTACTTACTAAAAAATATCCAGGCATGTCATTGTGAGGAGAAGCCGTTCTAAAACTTTCTTCTTGAAAATGTTGAAAGTTGGTAGTTAATGAAATACCAGAAGTCCGAAACCTGTTTGTGCCACAAGAATTCTGTAAGCCATCTCTATTTGTGCTTCGGGTAAATGAACTTAACAAACTTATGTTATTTACAGAAACAGGGTCTTTGGAAGCCTTAATTGCTACTTCTGTGATATCCCTTGTCTCCACTTTAGAATGGGTATCAGTCCTTTTGCTAGGTAAATCTAAACCAATGCCATGAAATCTAGATGTTCTTGAGTAAGAGGAATCTGTTAAACTGTTCACCTCCAATGACTGCAGAATGTTTGGAGAAATAGTAGGCCTCAAGCCAGCTTCTTCAAAATATTTGGAGTGAGCTTGAGATTTCTGAGGACTGTAATGCGCCATCTGTGATGAACAATGAAGAGGTGACAGGCGTGTTTTCTTAAGATTAAACTCATGAGAGTTAAAAATACTATTTTCTGCTGTTGCAAAAGTTTTTGTAATGGATTTGTTTTGATGCTCCTGCGGTAACTGAAGTGTGGTATTTCCTTCTTCTGTTCCAGATATTTTGCTATGTGAGTCATTACAAGTTTCTTCTGATACCGAGGCAAGCGTCTCTTTGTTTGGTAGAACATTTTTTTCTGCAGTATACAGATTTACATTTGTGAGATCTGGATACAAGAAAGGACATCTTTCATTGGACGATGTACCATTTTCTGCATTTTTTTCCAAATTTGCAAGTGCAGTTGTCACTTGAGGAACCACATGGTTTTCAGAAAGTTTTGCCTCTCCCTTGTCCACACATGATACTTTTGAAGGCAGTGTCGAGCTGTTAATTGACTGAGATGGTGAAATACTCTCCCATTTGTCATTTTCTTTAAGAAAGTTTCTACTAACTTTTTTACCAGTATGTGCTAAGGCTGAAAAGGCATTCTGAGATATTCCTGACTTATGTAAATTTTCAGGAGGCAGACAGGATTGCCCAATATGAGGAAGTGCTCGTAGAAAATTATGACGAACAGCTGCAAGCGAGCCACTAGACGGATGAAGAACCACTGGAGGATGGGGATTCATTTTGATCTTAGGCTGTGGGGGGGGAAAAAGGAAAAGGGGTTAGTTTTAACTATAGCGCAACTACAGAACCCCAATGTTCATCAGTTTTGCACAGAAGCATTAATGCTCTTTTATATTTCAATTTGAGGAATTTCATAATACTTAAATATTATTCAATATCCAGACTCAAAAAACCAACTTGCTTTCATTTCAATAGTAATTCTAATCAGTAATCCCTATCCAATTAGGACAGGGATTTTCAAAATTTTTCAGGTTGTTGAATCTATTTGGTAAAAAAAAATCTGGATTAAAAGGCAAACCTCTAGTGTAGAAAACAGACTGATTTCAAGTAAACTATTTTTTGTCGTTGGCTTCTTACATAGGTCCAAATGGCCCTATAGATCAGTTGGAAAAACTCTGGATTAGAATGACGAAAATATCACAATATTTAGTGTTCTTTAGGTCAGCAGCTCCCAACCTTTTCTATACCCTGCACCTCTAGAATGCTTCTGATATATTCTCGCACCCATTACAAAAGTTCAAAATAACAGCAACAAATTATGCATATACACTATAATTTTGAAAACCCAAGTTTTTGCACCCCCTGGAATATTGTTTTGCACCCAGGGGGTACAAGCACCCCCGGTTGGGAACCCCTGCTTTAGGCTAAAAATGATAGCTGATGATTAAGGTTAAAAATGATAGCTTCCTGACACATGGTAATTTCATGACACATTCATGATTTTTTTTAGGAAAAGTACATTATATCGGTAAAATGTAGCACATGAATTGTGTGCAGCTTATATAAATTAATTTTGGATATTATGCTGTATGTTGACTAATATCCGTTATGGAACAATTATTTAGAAAGGTTTGTAATTGTTCTTTACTGATATCAGATGAACTTATATTTTATGGCTTTACCTTTTTATTAAGGTTCATGTTTTCCATCTTTGCCTTGAGCAGCTTCATTTTATTCATTGTAATGGAGTTCTCAATAATCTGTTGCCCAGAAGGAGATATTTCTGTATCTTCATCATCATACAAATTATAAACTGAACCACCACTGTGGTGAAGAGAAAATTCAGATGTGGTCTAGTACTGTACATGTTAACATTTTGTAAATCAGATTGACCTAGTGGTCCATCGAGTCTGCCCTGAATTTATTTATTTTTTGTTTTCTTTCCATTTATTATTTTTTAATTATTATTTTTGTATTTTATATATTTTTTCAGATGATAAGACTGATGATTGACCCACTACCTCTGCGGGAAGTTGGTTCCAAGATTCCACTACTCTTTCTACGAAGTAATACTTTTTAAAATTACTTTTGAATTCCCCTCCTGTCATTTTGTCAGTCCTTATCAGTCTTTGTTAAGATGACTAATTCGTACAGCTAGTCCTTGCTTAATGACTGCCTTGGGCAATAACTGTTTGAAGAGTAACTTTGTGGCCAATGTCCCCATTTATCAACTTTGCAACATCTGTCTCTCAGTCATATATTCACCATTACAGTCAGTTATATGCATTATCCTATGTAAAATCATAAGCACAGTTGCACTCAAGTGATGTTTTCACTTAGTAACTGTTCTGCTTAATGACTGAGTTGCTTGTAAGAATGTTGCAAAGGGTGATCACATGATCCTGGGACACTGCAGCCATCATAAATATGAGTTAGTTGCAAGCGTCTGAATTTTGATCATATAACCATAGGCATGCTACAATGGTCGTAAGTGTGGAAAAATGGTCATAAGTTCCTTTTTCAGTGCCATTGTAATTTTGATCGGTCACTAAATGAACTGTTGTAAGTCAAGGACTACCTGTATATGCCAAAAAAACAAACAAACCATGGGCTCCCATTATCCCATGAGATCATTACAGTATAATTTGAAAAGTCAATTTCTCTTATTAATTAACAACTTTAATGCATTTTATAATCAGTGTAAAATTATTGGGTGATCTTTAAAACTCTTTAGTCATTTCTTTGAATCTCAATTATTTAGTATTTAGTCAATACAAATATATTAAAAATCAAACAGTACCAGATATTGGCATTAAACGATTTTTGAGAATACATGTTCATCAGCAGGTAAAAATATTTTTATTCTTATGGGATTTTAGCTTTTAAGAGGACATTAAGCAAGGTTTAATAATATAAGAGATAGTTCTCATTCTAACAATGCTAATTGGGACCAGCTAAACATATGATTGAGCTGCTTAACGATGGCAGTTTCAGCAGTATCTGGTTATTGTCATTAAATGAATCACCGTAAATCATTCCCACTTCCTCCTGGCTTCTCCACTGACTTTGCTTGTGGGACTCTGGTAGGTAAGGTTTCAAATTGTGATCCTGTGACCACAGGATGCTGAGGCAGGTGCTGAACACTTGACATTGCGATCACTTGACTGTGGGGGTGCTGCTTCAAGAACCAGTCATAAATACCTTTTGTTCAGCACTGTTGTAAGTTTAAACTGGTGACGGTTATTAAACAAGGACTACTATATTCTTCTTATATTTACGTACATACTTTATTTATTGTTCGAATTCTTATTTTATGTTTTAACTATATTTCTGCATTGCATTTTTCTTCTATTTTTCTTATTGCCAGTCAATCTGATCATTGCAGGTAATCCTCAACTTTACAACACTTCATTTAGTGACCGTTCAAAGTTACAAGGGCACTGAAAAAAGTGATTTATGACCATTTTTCACACTTAAGACCTTTGAAGCATCCCCATGGTCACGTGATCAAAATGCCTGGCAACTGACTCATACTTGTGACCGTTGCTGTGTCCCAAGATCATGTGATCACCTGTTGCGACCTTTTTACAAGCAAAGTCAATGGGGAAGCCAGACAACCATGTTATTAACTTATCAACTGTGGTGATTCACTGAACAACTGTGGCAAGAAAGGTCGTAAAATGGGCAAAATTCATTTAACAAGTGTCTCACTTAGCAACAGAAATTTTGAACTCAATTTTGGTCATAAGTTGAGGACTACCTGTATTTTTGATGCCAAGATCATACACTTAATAATATCATACTCTCTACTAAATTTAATATGCTAGCAAATGTCTTAAGTTTTATTCTGTCCAATTCTGCCATAATGTGCTTAATCTCTCATTTATAATAGCAACATTTTTATTCATTATATCTTGTTTTGTTCAGTTCATATTATGCTTTTACTACTATTTTTTTTAGATAAACATGTAATGCTCTTGGAGAAGCTGTTTTACTTTTCAGAAAACATAACTCAAAACTCTTCCAGGAATAGAATGCACTGGAACCTGACTTAATTGTAAATCTGCTCAGAGTTTTCAATAATATTTGAAAATCCTTAAGATTATAAATAACATACTTTAAAGATTCAGATAATGGCGTTAAAGTTCCATCTCCCCTGTCCACAACCCGAAAAAAATTCAACTGGTCTCCTTCCTGGTATACCAAGAATGTAACATGTTTACTGGATGGAACCTTTTCCCAGACATCATCTCGACAGGGACCCATGTATTCTGCTATTTCCTTAATTGGATCTTCCAACGGAACTACCAAGAAAAGGAACATGAAGAAAAAGATGGTTTGAAATGGAGTATGTTTTCATCTAAATGCTGAAATGAAGGACATATTTATAGAAACTGCTGTTTCCAATGAACCAAATAAAACATTAAGCAACCTTATTAAATAAATCTTACCAAATTTTGTCACAAAACCCTATTTTAAAATAGAAATAAAACTGGCTTTAGTTTGTTGAATATCAACAAATTTTTCTACAGCTTTACAAAATTTAATGTTTCCTTTTTATATTAGGAAAATCATTAATCTCAAAAGCATCATCATATAAGGTCTCAGGTATAAACCAAAACAACAACCCCCTTTCCATAATTGCATAACTCTCTGGAAAAGTGTTAGTTCAGAACCTGGTATTTTCTCCAAGTCTGTCTGATGTACAATAAACCACAAACCACATGTGGCAAAATTGTGTATAAGTAGTCCTTGACTTACAATTGTAAAACTGAGCCATTGTGGATCAACATGTGACTATGCCTGATTTTACAGCTATTTTTGTGGTGGTGGTGGTTAAGCAAACATTTTTTCCCTAATGGGTGTTTTTTTTTCCAGAAGTATACACCAGAAATATGCAAACAATGGCAAAAATCATTGTTGGGTGACTGAGATCATGTGACTCTCTCTCTCTCTCTCTCTCTCTCTGTGTGTGTGTGTGTGTGTTTGCAGCCACTTGAACTTTGAAAACAAAGTAGCTGTGGTACAGTTGTAACTTTAATAGTCACTAAGTGACCAGTCATTAAGTAAGGACTACCTGTACTATTTTCTCCTATCAATCTTGATGAGATATAATAATATTTCATTAATGTTCACTACAGTATAACACTTTCTCAGCAGTTTCAGACAGATGGTGTGAAATCTTTAGCATAGATCTAGACCAGATTCAGAGGAAGTAAAGGGCTGTAAGAATAACCTTGAGGAAGAGGAGGAAGAGCTGCAACCAAGACAATGGTCAGAAAAAAGTATAAGTCCAAAACAAAATTGCAATTTAAGAAATTATCTCAGAAATAACCTTCCCTAGTTTTCTTAAAAATAAAGGGCAGGGGAGGCACTTTCAGGCTTTCAAGATTCTATTACTGTAATCCTAAAAAATAAAAAAGCAGTAATAGCATTCAGAACATTGATTTTTCTATTCTTGTCTATCTTGAAGGGATAATAATAATAATAATAATAATAATAGTAATAATAATAAATATATAAAGTCAAAATTGAGCAAGACAGCAACAGACAGTAAGTGCCGCCTATGCAAAGAAGCTGAAGAAACAGTGGACCACCTGGTAAGCTGTTGCAAGAAGATTGCACAGACTGACTACAAGCAGCGGCATGACAAAGTAGCAACAATGGTGCATTGGAAGATCTGCAAAAAATATCATTTGCCTGTAAGCAAAAACTGGTGGGATCATAAAATAGAGAAAGTCATAGAAAATGATAAAATTAAACTGCTCTGGGACTTCAGAATTCAAACAGACAAGCACCTGCAACATAACACCCCAGACTTAACAATTGTCGATAAGAAAGACAAAAAAGTCTGGATAGTGGACGTGGCAGTGCCTGGAGATAGCAGAATAGAAGAGAAAGAACTGGAGAAGATAACAAAATACAAAGACCTACAAATAGAAATAGAAAGACTGTGGCAAAAGCAAGCAAGGGTAGTACCAATAGTCATAGGCTCCTTGGGTGCAATCCCAAAACAACTGGAGCACCACTTGAACACCATTGGCATTGACAAATTCGCTATTAGTCAATTGCAAAAGGCGGCCTTACTAGGAACTGCTTCCATCCTGCGACGATATCTGTAATACCATCAAACATCCACATCTGCCTATCCCAGTCCTGGGTAAGGACTCGATAGGTAGACAAAATGCCAAATCCAGTCTGAACATCTGGCTGACTGTGCGATGATCGATAATAATAATAATAATAAAGTTGGAAGGGACCTTGGAGGTCATCGAGTCCAACCCCCTGCTCAGGCAGGAACCCTACACCATTTCAGACAAATGGTTGTCCGGTCTCTTCTTAAAAACTTCCAGTGTTGGAGCATTACTGCTTCTGGAGGCAGGTTGTTCCACTGGTTAATTGTTCTAACTGTCAGGAAGTTTCTCTTTAGTTCTAAGTTGCTTCTCTCCTTGATCAGTTTCCATCTGTTGCTTCTCGTCCTGCCTTCAGGTGCTTTGGAGAATAGCTTGACTCCCTCTTCTTTGTGGCAGCCTCTGAGATATTGGAACACTGCTATTATGTCCCCCCTTGTCCTTCTCTTCGTTAAACTAGACATACCCAATTCCAGCAACCGTTCCTTATATGTTTTAGCCTCCAGTCCCCTAATCATCTTTGTTGCTCTTCTCTGTACTCTTTCTAGAGTCTCAGCATCTTTTTTACATTGTGGTGACCAAAACTGGATGCAGTATTCCAAGTGTGGCCTTACTAAGGCATTGTAAAGTGGTATTAATACTTCACGTCATCTTGATTCTATCCCTGTTAATGCAGCCCAGCACTGTGTTGGCCTTTTTGGCAGCTGCAGCACACTGTTGGCTCATATTTAAGTGATTGTCCACTAGGACTCTGAGATCCCTCTCACAGTTACTACTATTGAGCAAGGTACCCCCTATACTATATCTGTACATTTGGTTTTTATTGCCTAAATGTAGAACCTTACTTTTTTCACCACTGAATTTCATTTTGTTAGATAGCGCCCAGTGTTCAAGTCTGTCCAGGTCCTCCTGTATCTTAAGCCTGTCTTCTGGAGTGTTGGCTATTCCTGCCAGCTTGGTGTCATCCGCAAATTTGATGAGTTCCCCATCAATCCCCTCGTCCAAATCATTGATGAAGATGTTAAAGAGCACTGGGCCTAGAACAGAGCCCTGGGACACCCCACTACACACTTCCCTCCATGTAGATGCAGTTCCATTGAGGCACACGCTGAGTATGGCTGGTCAGCCAGCTACGAATCCATTTGGTGGTGATGCTGTCTAACCCACATTTTTTTATCTTATCGAGTAGTAGGTTGTGATCTACTTTATCAAATGCCTTACTGAAGTCCAAGTAAATTATATCCACAGTATTCCTCTGATCCACTAATTTTGTCACTTGGTCAAAGAATGCAATAAGGTTTGTCTGGCATGATCTGTTTTTAACAAACCCATGTTGGCTTTTAGTAATGACTTTGTTTGCCTCTAGGTGTTCGCTGATTCGTTGATTATCTTTTCCAGAATCTTCCCAGCTATTGAAGTCAGGCTGATAGGTCTGTAATTTCCTGGATCCATTTGTTTTCCTTTTTTGAAGATGGGAACTACATCAGCTGTTTTCCAGTCCTCTGGTAGTTCCCCAGTGCTCCAAGATTTTTCAAAATATAGTTCAGTGGTTCTGAGATCATATCTGCCAGTTCCTTGAGAACCTTGGGGTGTAATCCATCTGGTTCTGGTGATTTGAACTTGTCTAGGCTGGGCAGGTGCTCACTTATCATTTTCTTGCCTATCTTAACTTGTGTTTCTATACTGTTTTGTTATGGCACTATTTTTGATAGGTTGGTCTGTTTTTTCCCTTTGTGTAAAGACAGATGCAAAAAATGAGTTAAATAGTTCTGCTTTCTCCCTACTGCTAGTCACCTTCTTACCACTTTCACCCACTAATGGACCAATCGTTTCCTTCACTTTTTTCTTGTTTTTTACATGTTGAAAGCAGCTTTTTTTTGTTATTTTTGACTTTGGTCGCAAGCCTTAGTTCATTTTGAGCCTTGGCTTTCCTCACTTCATCTTTGCAGGCTCGGGCTATTTGTTGATATTCTGATTTAGTTATGTGCCCCTCTTTCCACTTTCTATACTTTCCTTTTTATCTTTCAATTTGTCAGAGAGTTCTTTATGCAGCCATGCTAGTTTCTTTTGAGAGCTGTTATTTTTCCTCTTTGTTGGTATTGAGCTAGACTGGACTTCTATTATCTTGCTTTTCAAAATTTCCCAAGCTTCTTGCATTGTTTTCCCCTGGAGGATTCTCATCCATGGAATCCTTCTCAAGCCCTCTGTAAGTTTATTGAAATTAGCTCTCTTGAAGTCCAAGACTCTAGTTTGACTGTGTTCTATTGCTTGTTGCTTCCATAATGTTGAATTCCAATATTGCATGATCACTACCTCCCAAGGTTCCTATGGCTTCAACACCTTCTATCATTTCATCTCTGTTAGTGAGAATTAGATCCAAAATGGCTAATCCCCTAGTTCCTTTCTCCACGTTTTGGGAGACAAAGTTGTCTGCTAGGTTTGTCAGGAATCTGTTTGATCTTCCACTTGGTGCAGAGTTTGTCTCCCAGTTGATGTCAGGGTAATTAAAGTCCCCCATTACTATGGTGATGTGCTTCCTACATACCTTAGTTAGCTGACTAGCAAAAAGTTCATCTATTTCCTCTGTTTGGTTGGGTGGCCTATGGCAATGTCATTTTTCTCCCTTTTATATTGACCCAAATGCATTCAAGACAGTTTTCGTCATTGTTGTGCTCTATTTCTGTGAAGATGTAGTTATTTCTTATATAGAGAGCAACTCCACCTCCTCTTTTATTTGATCTGTTTCTTTTAAATAATTTAAATCCCTCTAGCTGTGTGTTCCATTTGTGGTTTTCATCCCACCATATTTCTGTAATGGCAACAATATCATATCTGCCCTCACTGACCTGAATTTCTAGTTCACCCTGTTTGCTGTTCATACTCTGTGCACTGGTATATAGACATTTGAGTCCTTTATGACCGACCCTGTGTTTACTTTCTAACCTGTGTGGTGCCTGAGTTCCACTATTGTCTTACCACCTATTTGCTTAGTGCACTTTGTGTGGCACTCATTATTAAAAGCTTGATTTTGCTTGACAGCAAGGTTAGTTTTTTTGTCCACACACATATCTATGTTACATGCACTGATAGCCCTATTGTTTTTAGATTGCCGGGGACAGGGATGCTCTGTATCGATTAACTGACTCTGTATCGATTAATTGACAGAGAGAACAGATTTTATATTTGCTGAATTATTTTGAAATTCACCAGAGCTGTAATATTTATGATGAAACATAATGTGCTCTACCAATGTTTTCTTTATAAATTAGAAGTTGCAACTTATTTAGATTAGGCATTCCTTTAGAAATGTATTCCCTACAGTGTGCCTGCTTTCTCTCTTGAAATCCCTTCCTCTCCAATTAAGGTAAATACAAACATAATTTTCTTATTCTAATTATCCCAGTGCTGGGGTAAACATTCCAAAGCCTGAGGGAACAGGGGAAAAGGCTAATAAGATTTGCCTTTTACTCGGCTTCCTCAAGTTCTGAAAACCTTTCCTGCAGTTTGGGCTTAGCCATCTATTTGAAGTTGTATCCTTCTGTAAAACAAAGGAAATCTAAAGTAAAAACCGTAAGTACTGCCGTGGTTTTTCCACTTAATGACCATTGCTAATTGACCAAATTGCTGGTCCCAAATGTGGTAGCTAAATGAGAACTACCTCTACAGTGCGTAGTATGTTATTAAATTAAAACAGAAGGAGAAATAAATCATATACTAGCCCTAACCTCTTCCCATTCATTAAGGAAATGATAAATATAATTTTAGTTTACGCTCTCTATAAATACACAAAAATTAAATATAAAAAAGGCCTACCTCTTTTTGTATTAATAGGTCCACCACGCATTGCTAAGATCAGCTTCAAAGTACATCCTTCTGAAATGCTGTAAACGATCAATTAGACATATTTTGTAAACCTTTCTTCTAGGAAGAGTGCAGAGAAATGATGATTAGGAGTCGAGAGGTTAAAACATAGGATGAACAGTTGCAGAAACTGGGTATGTCTAATCTAACAAAGAGAAGGACTAGGTGTGACATGATAGCAGTCTTCCAATATCTGAGAGGCTGTCATAGAGAAGAGGGGGACAACTTATTCTCTAAAGCACCTGAAGGCAAGACAAGAAATAACAGACGGAAGGTTATCACAGAGAAAGATCCAATTTAGAACTAAGGAGACCTTTCCTGTTTATGAGAACAATTAATCAGTGGAATGGCTTGCCCCCAGAAGTTGTGGGTGCTCCATCACTGGAGGTTTTTAAGAAGAGAGTGGACAGCCACTTGTCCAAAATGGTATAGGGTCTCCTCCTTGGGCAGGGAATTGGATTAGAACACCTCCAAAATCCCTTCCAACTCTTTTTTAATATAATCAAGAAATATTCAAAAACAGTGATTAATTACATTTGAATACTCACTGGTAATCATTCAAAGAATAGTCATCTTCCAGCTCCACATTATTCCAGATTAAATGCTGCTGAGATACAGGGATACCTTGAAATATTATTAAAATTGAATGTATTTAATTACTTTGTAAAACTATGACTAAAATTACTAAAATAGTTATTTACTTGGATATATATTCCTTTGAAATTAACACACTCTAAATAAAAAATATGATTTAAATTTGCATTATGCAAAACACTCCAGATTTAAACTCCTTATTTTTAGTGCCAGGATTAAATCCAAATAGTAAAAACTGCCTTTAAGTAAGGCAGTTAATACCAGTTGATTAGTAGTAAGAAGTAACAACAATCTTATATTACCTCACCAACATCAGAGTTAATTTCATTGACTACTGCCCTATAATTCCTCAATTTGCTCAAAATAGTACATATGATTGTTCCTTTCATTGTATCCTTATAGTTCCATGAAGTGGATTAGGTTGAAAGGCATTATAAGATACTTGGTAAAATTCACTAGGAATTAAGGATTTGAAGATAAATTTTCCAAGTCAGAATAATCCATCTTAACCCTAAGTAAATACTTATTAAATTAGTCCTTAATGATTGTATTTGCAAAAACATGCAGTTTGTAAGTGAGGCATGAAGACAGTGATCAGGTTTATGGTCAACATGTGGTATTCTGAGAGAAAATGCAGTAATGTTTCTCCTCATTTAATGAAGTTTGCAAAATACCAAGACTTTTATTCTGTTTTCATTTAATTACATGAGAATGATACATAAAAGAACTGTCATAAATCCAAGATTGTCATATAATTCATTTACTGTCGTATTTGCTTGACCACTGCTGTTTTCTAACTTCCTTTCTCACTGATAAGAAGGCAGAAATGTTGTATTTCAACGTCACTGCAAAGCTTTCAATTCTTTACACAGGACAGCTAAAGCTGACAATGAGTTGGTATGGATGAAAAATGCTAAGAAATTTCTTTGGATAAGTGGATATGTTGAAAATAAAAGAACAGCAATCAGTTTACTAGCTGTCCAACAGGCTGCAAAAAGCAATTATTAAAAAAAGGTGAAAAGACATGACGGATGCTTGAGAATGATAGTAACCCATGGAATAATACTTATTTTGCATATTAGGATACTAACAGCACTTGCTGAATCCTTATCTCTGGGAAATAGCGAACAACTAGGGAAGTGGCAGATGACCCAAAACTGTCCCTATATTTAAAAGGATAAAAATAGGATCCAGGGAATTAAGGTCCTACTCTGTACAAAATCTAAAGTAGAAAATAGAAAAGTATCTTTACAAGCAGTCCTCGAGTTGTGATAAAAATTAGTACTGGGATAAGCGATACAATCATAAAGTGTGACTTTGTGGCCACATTGTTTAGCAATATAGTCCAGGCAGTCCTTTTTGTTGTTGTAACCTTAAGAAACGTAAGATATTAAGAGAGAAACAGAGGGAGTCCCAGATAAAGTGTGAGGATGCACAGAAGAGTGAGAGAGACTCTGAGTGTCTCAATGTAGATTATGCAACAAGTTGGTGTGTGTGTGTTACAATGCAACACAAGATCAAAGAAGCTGGAGAAAGAGGGTGCTGGGGTGCCTATGTGTGAATGCAGGGAGGGACAGGGAAGGAAGGTGCTGGCGATGCATGCCTGTGTGTGGGTGCAGGGAGGGTAGGAAGGAGGCAACTGGTGGGTGTGAGCATGCAAAGGAGGAAAGAGTGTGCTGGTGTGTGTAATGAGGGGCGCAGTGCGTGCGAAGAAAGAATGGGCGGCAGGGGATACACTTACCTGGGCAATTTGTCACATTCCATGTCAGCTTCCCATTACCTTTGCTAATGGGAAGCTGGCATAGAAAATCAGCAACAGCAATCATGTGACTGTAGGATGCTGCAACCAATCATAACTGCCAGCTGGTTGCCAAGCACTCAAATATTGTTCATGTGACCGTGGGGGCATGCAACAACTGGAACTTCAAGGGCTGCTCATCAGTCTCTTTGTTAACCACCAGTGTAATAATTCCAAACAGTCACTGAATGAATGACTGTAACTTGAGGACTATCTGCATTTCTTCGTTAATTTTCTGATGTACTGTGGAATTCTGTAGACATAATATACAAGTAGCTCTTAGGTAACAACCCATTGGGACTGGGAACTCTATCGCTAAGTGACTCTGCCATGAAGCCCCCCCCCAAAATTGACCTAATGCAATGGATAAAAGTTAGAAATAAAATAAAAAGTACTCTGTATTAGCTACTTATAACACTACGGCCATAACAAGTGCCTCACTATGATGGAATACTGGAATGTAGTTCATTTTCATTATATTATCTCACATTTCATGAAAGGTGAAGCTTCAAAAATGAAATATGATCCATTGCAAGAACGTTTTTGAGAATGCTATTTGAAGAAGAAACATTATAGATGGACTTATCAACTGCTTTTTGCAGCGACCAAAGTTATAATGATGCTGAAAAAATAACTTTGCAACAAGGTGCACACTCACATATCTGCCATTAATTTGTACATATACTGGGCCTGATCTGTTTTTTCTCCCCTCCCCTCCCAGAACAGAGAGGTTGGATAGAGATTATAAGATAGTAAGCAGATACACGATCATGTACACACTGATACACACTGAAATGAATGTGCTAGTCTGGCTGTTTGTCTAGTGGGCTCGAGATTGAAAGCTTCAAGCACGCTGATGCTAGAACATTCCTTTGGATCTGTATTTCCTACTATGTGGTCACACAATTTGCTTTAGCCACTGCATCACTTAGCAACCAAGTTGCTGGTCTCAATTGTCATCATTAAATGAGGACCATCTGTGTTTGCTAAAGGTATCCTACACAGAACAGTCATTCGTCATCCTTACCTCATATTGACAAATTTTATCAAATTTGAGCTTTTGTAAACATACAAATATTTTTGTATTTCTACTGATATTTTGATTCAACCAATTATATATTTGTTACATTTCCATCCAAGTTTACTTCTAGGAGCTCAATATAAATAAAAAATGTTACGTTCAAATTTTTGAGCAGACATTTAATTTTGTTGGTATTCCCTCTAAAATAGCTGAACTTTCAAATTTGAAAACTAAATCCTGATATAAAAAAATGTACCTTCCAGCCTCTGGATTTTAGCTTTCACAGAAATAACTGTTTCAAAAGGAGACACTCGCAATTCAAAGCATGTTCCTGTAAGAGTTTCAATGAAGAGCTCCATGGTCTCATAGAAAGTAAGTTTGCAATGACATGATCCAACATTATCCTCATTGAAGAAAGGGGGTTCCTTCTTACTGGCCATTCTAGTATTCCTTGTGAAAAAAAATCAGTTGGGTGTTATATCTCAATTTTAAGCCAGCTCTAAACAAGAAACATTATGCTTTTTTCGTATTTCAAGATGATACAAGATCTGTTGTTACAACAGATTGTTGTTACAATAATATTAACATCTATTAAAGCATTCTTTAGTAACTACTAAACCAAGAAAACAAATTTTATTCTATTTTTCTTTCACACAGAAGTACATATTTAAAGGCAAAAAATGTAAATACCTGTAAATAAATGACTTCTTTCACTGTATTATTGTTTATAACAGAAAGAGTACATTAAAATTTAAAATTCAGAGCCATTGTCTATTGAGATTGTCAATCATCCAGGTCATGGTTGTGTCAAAGATGGTTTTCAAAAGGCTACTTTGTTTTTTTTTTTCCTTGAAAACATTTTGCTTCTCATCCAAGAAGCTTCTTCAGTTCGGGCTGAATGGTGGGGAAATGGAAGGATTTATATTCCTTACATTTATGTTCCGATTCAGAGCAATTCTTCGCATGAAAATAAAATAAATCTCACTGAAGAAAGATAGTTAAGATTTTCCTTACAAAAAGACTACCTTGGTGCAAGCAAGTAGATGGAAATCTTCATTATACTAATGATTGAGAAACTGAAGTCAATAGAGATCAATTTTGTAATAGATATCTTAAAAACATTTTCTATCCCCAAGTTCCTACATCTATGGAGAACTTATAAATTTGGAAGATTAGAATACTGTTCCAGGGAAAACAAGCCAACAAAGATAAGCATTTCCATTAATGTCAACAGCCAATTCCCAAGCAATGAAAATAATAAAAGATCAAGTGTGCTATAATGATCCATTACAATTGGCAATTCTACAGCTACAGAATATAACTATTATGTCAACCTACTACTATTACCGTGTTTGTACTCCTGCCAGCTGTGTACTCAGAATATTCTACTGATGCTGAATGGCACTAATTGTTTCTGTATGTTATTACAAAAGCTCTTATTGCAAAATAAGATTCAGAACTTCACTAAAACGTTTGAAACACAACCAGAATTCAGTTACTGAGCTACAGTTGCCTATTTGATTTTGCTGATGGATCTCATGGTAAGCACTCTGGGAAATCACATATCTGATTTCACAAACATTCAAGTTAATAGAAAACTGCTATTACTTCCATAGAACCAAAGAAGTTGATAAGTTACTGTGATCTGCCTTACGTTAATATAGGTTTCCTGTTTTTTTTGAACCATGACAACCTATCAGTTGTGTCAAGATGATCCTTGTGCCCTCCACCATGCATAGTCATGCAGATATACCCTGTGCATTATCAAATTACTTACATTCTTTATCTCTAATAAATCACTATATGCCACACTGAAAAAAATACAAGGAAATTAAACTGTAATGTTTGAGTGTACACAACTATGGAGAAAAAAAAACCAGGGCAAGTTCTCACTCAACTACTCAACCTCCACTCTCCCATCTACAACACAGAGGACAGGCTAACGTGCAGAATTAGTAGAGCCTTCTTGATAGAGCCCCAATGCTATTTAACCCCATTTGGACAAACAGCCAAGACGGCACTCGCCTTTCCCACAGGATTGGGAAATCAAAGCTTGCCAGTTTTGCCCGTTTCCGTCCTTACGGTCAGGGCGGGAAAGAGTCCCGAAACCCAGGAAACTAAAGAGGACGCCAGAAACACAATGCCTCAAGATGGAAGCACCGAAGGTGTCTTCTTCCGGGAACTAACTGTTCTTTACTGGGCTGGGCTCTGTGGGCCAGTTCCGGCCCTGGTCTTGCCAGCAGGCCCTCTCGACCTCCAGCCACCGCTCGCCCCCAAAGGGAAGAAAGCAGCTTCCCTCGTAACTCCCAGGCCAGGAAGATCACAGGCCCCGCTAGGGAGCCTCCGTTTGAAGCCGATGGCCATGACGGCTACCGGGACACACCAGCTCTTCGGGAACGCTGACAGAAGAGAGGGCAACGGGCGGGCGCGCAACCACGCCTGCTTCCCCAGAGGCGGCCAGGTGGGGAGACCCGTCCTCCTCACCTGCCGTTTCCCGCCACGCAGGGCCCTGCGGGACGGGCGGGAGGGGCTGACGCGTCGCCTCCCCCTTCACGGAGCCGCTGAGGCAGCCATGGAGCGGAGAAGACGCTGGCGAGCGAAAGCCATTCAGCCGCACGGGAGCGCCCGTTCCCTCCGCCCGGCGGCGAAGGGGCGGCGCTTGCCCGTCCTCCCTCCCTTTGTGACGCAATAAACGTGCGAGTCCGGTTGCTTAGGAACGGGACTCCAATCCTGGCGCGGCTCGGAAACTGGCGGGAAGGGGCAGCTCTGGACTTTGGCGGCTCAGCTGCGGCGACGCTTCGCCAGGGTCTTGAGGTCCCCCCTCCCGCCCTTCAAAGGCCTGGGATGGCTTTTACCCTTCATTTGGTCGTCGGTAATCCTCACGTGAATACAGAATACCGGAGTTGGAAGGGATCTTGGAGGTTATCTAATCTAACCCTGCTTAAACAGGGGACCCTATACCAAGGAATCCCCAATCTCCGGTTCGTGGGCTGACACCGATCTGCAGAATGCCAGCAACCGGTCCACGCAAACAAGTGAAGCCCCGTCCACGGGATGCAGGCGGCACACAAAACCACGCTCCCTCTGGCCCACGGAAAAACCTTTCTCCACGGAACTGGTCCCTGATGCCCAAAGGCTTGGGGTCTGCTGCCCTATAGCCATTTCTGACAAATGCTGTCCAGTCTCTTCTTAAAAGCCTCCAGTGATGGAGCACCCACAACTTCTGAAGGCAAGCCGTTCCACTGGTTTATTGTTGTGTCAGGAAATTTCTCGTTTCTAGGCTGAATCTCTCCTTGACCAGTTTCCATCCATTGTCCCTTGTCTGGCCTTCCAGTGCTTTGGAAAATAGGTTGTCTCCCTCAAATATTGGAACACTGCTATCATGTCACCCCGATCCTTCTCTTTCCTAGACCAACCATGCACGGTTCTTGCAACCATTCTTTATGTTTTAGCCTCCAGTCCCTTAATCAGCTTTGTTGCTCTTCTCTGCACTTTTTCTAGAGTCTCAACATCTTTTTTATAGTCTCAACATCTTTTTTATAGTGGTCTATAAAAATGGTCTCAAGACCTCGTGCCTTCACCAATGGGGACCACCAATTTACCTGCCCGGATGGCTCGTCGATTTTTGAAGGCTTTTCCATACATCTCTCCGGACCCTCATCTGTTTTTTCTCAGTTACTTCTTTTTTTCCCTGTGCGGCTGCGAGCACCCAAAATACCGAGCCTCAATGATACCTCCGCATGGATTCCCGGAGAGTTCCAGCAAGTGTGCATGAGACCCTCCTTCGTTTTGCAAACTGAATCCAGAACTGGCAGGGATCTTATAGACAGCAGCGTGTGGGGCACTTTCTAAAGTTATCAGATAAAGTGAAAATTGAAATTGAATACAGAAAAAATAACGACTGAATCTTGTAAAAAGAATGTACCATGATCTCAGATGATATAGAACATCTTATATATTGTATGAAAACAGTAATCTTAAAATGTTCAATTTTAAGAATGTTCATAACTTAAAACTCCAATATGTATACAGTATCTCAAATTAGTTACCAAATGTATAAATTGCATTTTCTAAAATGTATAAGCAGATAGCAGACATCTATTAGCAGAAGATCAGAAATGATCTAATATTGATTATCTTATCCAGAATATTAATGTGAAGCTTTTTATATCTTCAGAATTTTAATAGAATACAGGTAGCCTCAACTTACAGCCTTTTTTAAAATATTTTTTATTGAATAACAAAAATTAAAAACATTGAACATGGTAAATCAGATTTGACATACATCACAGTTCATATTCACAATTAACTACTAATATATGAAAAAAACCCCGTTATAATAACATCACTCTAATCTCAATCTTAACTTATCTCATTACAATGACTTCCATATTTTTCCCCCACCATCTATAAAATTTATTCCAAATTTGGTAAAAATCCATTTCATCCTGATTTTTGAGTCTCTTAGTTAACCTATCTAATTCTGAGCAGTGCATAATTTTATGAATTAAAATACACCTAGTGAGGAACTTACAGCCTTTTGTTTGAGTTACAATGTCACTGTTGCAGCATCTCCATGGTCATGGATCAAAATTCGGATGCTTGGCAGTTGTCTCAAAATTTGGATGCTTGGCAATTGGCTCACATTTATCATAGTTGCGGTGTCCCAGGGTCATCTGATCACCTTTTGCAACCTTACAAAGGCGAAGACAATGGGGAGGCCAGATTCACTTAATAACTATGTTACTAACTTAACAACTGCAATGATTCACTTAACAAGTGTGGCAAGAAAGGTCATAAAATGGAGCAAAACTCACTTAACTGTCTCACTTAGCATTGTAAATTTTGATAACATACTGTATGTGGTTTAAGAGTTTTAGGTAATCTTTTAGGTAATTTAGAGAATGCAACTGTAAGGAACCTCATAAAAATTGAGTACCTGTTTCAAACAGCTCCAAAAAATAATATCAAAAGCACTATCTCCAACTAAAGAATTAATTTTACCAGTTTTAGTTGAAAAAATTATATCAAGCATCTAATGATAGATGCACAAATATAGCCCTATTGGATGCAGAAGAGTTGAAAGAAGCTATAGCTAATAAGCTTTTGCTATACACAATCATAAGAACCGGACAGAAGATGGTACAGGACAAGAAGACCTGGAGGAACATTGTCCATGGGGTCGCAATGGGTCGGACACGACTTCGCAACTAACAACAACACAAAGAACCGGAAATATAATCAGGGAACATTATTAAGAGATTCTTATGTTGGTGAGGGTGCATTATGAGTTTTAAATAAACTGACACTAAAAGATACTTGAAAAGGTTTAATATAACTCCAATAGAAGAGGAGACAAGAACCTGCTCTTCTGCTAATCAGCTGGAAAGCCATCAGAAGCCTTTGCTTTTTTTGCAAATTTAATTGCAGTCAATTTCTTGAAGAGAAGGAGGTAAAAATCAGTTTAGTAGCCTAGTTCTGTGATAGTCTCACATTTTGTAAAAACAAAAAAGCTTTATCTGCTTAATAAAACTGTTCATTCAACAAATATATATTCAGTACACATCTGAAAAAACGTATGTACTGTTAAATTACAGGAGCAAAGTCTGAAATAAGATGAATTTTTTCACATAGCTTTAGATCCCAAAGAATGTCATCTAAAGAAAAATAGTTTTTTATATGCAGATGAAAGAATATTCACTTTGGGAAAGACTGCTGAAATGCCAAATAGCCAGCCTTCATATTTATATTGCACGCACACAGGCCGGTCACTCAATTAGGTCATGGTCCAGTAGTGGGCTATGGCCCACAAATTGGGGACCCCTGTTCTAATCCAACCCCCTGCTGAAGCAGGGAACCCTATACCATTCTGAACAAATGGCTGTCCAATCTCTTTTTAAAAACCTCCAGCAATGGAACACCCACTTCTGGAGGCAAGCTGTTCCATTGGTTAATTCTGTCAGGAAATTTCTCCTTAGTTTAGGCTGGATCTCTACTTAATAAGTTTCCAACCCTTACTTCTTAATACCCTTACTACCTCAGGTGCTTTGGAGAATAGATTGAACTTTTCTTTGTGACAATCCCTCAAATATTAGAAGATTGCTATTGTGTAACCCCTAGTCTTCATTGTTACTCTAGACATATCCAGTACCTGCAACTGTTCATCCTGTGTTTTAGCCTACAACTTCCTAATCATCTTTGTTGCTCTTCTCTACACTGTTTATGGTTTCAACATCTTTTTTGTAGTTTTTGCTTTTTTGTACTTTTTTTTAGTTATGTATCCCGTTTTCCAATTTTTATAGTTGTCCTTTTTGTCTTTCAGTTTATCAGAGAGTTCTTTATACAGCCATGCTGATTTCTTTTGGGATCTTTTCTTTTTCCAGCAGTATTGAACTTTTATAATCTCATTTTCTGAGTTTCCCAAATTTTTTGAGTTGTTTTCCCCTTTAATGTTCTCATCCATGGAATCCTTCCCAAGCTCTAAGTTTATTGAAATCAGTTGTCTTAAAGTCTAAGACACAAGTTAGATTTTGTTCTACAGCTTGTATCTGCTTTATGTTGAATTCCAATATGACATGGTCACTCTCCTCCAAAGTTCCCACAACTTCATCTCTTTCTACTATTTTATCTCTATCAGTAAGAATTAACTCTGGGACAGTTGGCCCTCAAGTTCCCTTCTATACCTTTTGAGAGACAAAGTTGTCCTCTAGGTTTGTCAGGAAACCCTTTGAGTTTGTCTCCCAGCTGATGTCAGGGTCCCCTGTTGTAGTCTACTTCTTGCATACCTTAGTAAACTGATTAGCAAAATATTTCTATTTCTTCTGGTTGGTCTGTAGTATACACCTATGGCAATGTCATTCCTTTTTCTTCTCTATACTTTTACAATCTAAAATAGTTCATAATTTAATTCAGATCTCTTTTAGCTACTATATGATTGACTGGGTAGTTTACAAATCTTGAAAGCAATTATGTATGAGTTCTAAATAGTTGGATCATTCATGTGAATGTTACATATAAAGTATTAATGTAATGTGTAATACCAAAGGCAGGTAAAACTAATCCAATCTTGATTAATATTGAAACAGAGAGCTTAATGGCAGTGCTAGCAGATTACGGCAAGTGATATTTCATTAAGAATAATCGAACGGGGCTTTAAAAAAAATAGGCAAGCACCAGACAACATTAGGTTAATTATAGATATAATAGACTTGAATAAAAATGAAAGCCAATTTGTAATCTTATTGTTAGATCCTAAAAAAGCTTTTGGCAAAATATACACAGTACATGTTTGCTGTATAATAAAGATTTGGATCTTTTTTTGAAATTTGTAAAATGGATCAAGATATATGATTAGCACACATCTAAAATAAAGGTTAATGATGTGTTTTCTGCTGCTTTCTTATTATTTAAAGGAAGTAAGCAAGGATGCCACTTTTACCCTTGCTTTTTGAGACTTGCATGGAACCCTTGGCTTGTACTTCTAGACAACTTTGGGAGATTTCCAGGGTAGTATGCAATTTACTTGAATATAAATTGATTTTATTTGCGGATGATACCTCATAGTACTATCCTAGTGTTGGTACAAATAATAGATGCCTTTAGTAAAATAACAAAATATTCTATTATAAGTGGTCCAATTCAGAACTGATGCTATTAAGAGAAAATTTGGTTACCAATCCATTTAAGGAATATTAGTTAATTCCATATTTCTACCGAAAATATTTAGGTATATACATATTGAAAAAGATAAGGTTTCTCTTCATATATGGATAGATAGGAGGTTTCCCAGTGTCTGTCACTTCAGCTATCTGTCAATGGTACATCCCATGTAGAGTCTTGTCTTGCCATGGCACCACCACTTGATCTCAGCAGTTCATCTTTGGGTGCCATCTTAATGATGTACTCCTGGATGCTCTGGGTTTTGGTCCAGGACAGTAGCTATGATACTCATCACACCCCACTTGCCCTCATTGAATTAGAGAGTGTCATACAATAACTTGCATTTATTAATTTTATTTTATACTATTCGTCCTCCCAAGGGAAGGATTTAAGGAATAAAGTTAAATACTACATTGTGGGATTTAGGGTTACACGTAGATGGACCCAGCTGATTAGTTTTCTACAACTGCAAGAACTTCAGATGTAAGCCAGTGTAACTGCTTTGTCATTGCATCCAATCCAACGAGAAATCACACTTTCAAAGAACTATTTGAATGCACATTCCCTGCTTTTTTTTTAACAGACTGAATAGTAGAGAAAATGCATAGTACTTGATATGAGACAGTATCCAATAAATGGTGTGGACATTCAACCCAAAATGTACATTTTTATCACTGCCTGATGGTGATACTATATTAAGGTAAACTGAGATTCAACATGAACAGAATTCTGAAGGGATGCAAAATCAGTGATTGCTCTGTTTTTGAGAGTTATTTTTATGCAATCCCCAGAGATATTTTAATACTGTACATACTGGCAGATAAGCCAAGTATGTTGAGTGCCAAAATGCACCTAAAAATTTGGGTTCAGCTCATCCACAAATTGGCTTACCTGTGAGTGTACACAGTATTCTTTTTTAAAGTACATATATTTCCCATATATACTTACATGTAAATCCATCCGCAGATAGGCAGACATTAAATTTTTTTTACCAAAACACCATGAAAAATATAGGACAGCTTATTCATTGATGGCACCTTTTTAAAGTGTAATTTGGTTAAAAAAAAACGGGTTACCTTATTGAAGGAAAGGTTTACCTGTAAGTATATATGGTAGTGAAAAATTGCATGTCATCTTATCCCATCCCTTCCAGCAAAAGGAAATAATTTTTATCAGTAACCAAGGATATACTCAAAATAATTCAGATTTCCATAATCATGAGTTATAATCATAAACTTAATTCCAGAAAGTGAGTTTGCTTACAATAGAGCAGATCAGAAAATATTATGTAAATGCCATTTATCGATATTAAATATTCTGTAATTTTGATTTATACTATATATATATATATATATATATATATATATATATATATATATATATATATATATATATATATATATTACCAGTAACAAGCTGATTAGGACAATTATTGTTTGCTCAAATAGCTTTTATAATTTTTTTTAAAATGTCACATGGAGTAAAATAGATAAGGGAATGAGTCCAGGAATATTCCGTTTTGTCACATCAAGTATTTGATCAGAAAATGAAGGAATTAACACTCAGTGACAAGTTGAAAATACATTGGCCAGCAGTCTCTTTATTAGTGCCCTTGAAATGCATTGAGAGGGTCGTCAAAAGTGCTTGCTGTTCTAACTTCACACTTACTTCCTGAGACTGACTGAAAGGCGGTCTTTTTTGTTGATGTCTTAGATTGACTAGCAGGGGAGAAGATATCATCTAGAGAAAGGGAGAAACCAGTTAATCTGTACTTGTTTATGACCAGAACTATTTCATAGAATTTTTTTTTAGAAAATGATGAGTTACATTTATATTAACAGGAGTACAGGGAAGGATATCGATAAAAAGTCTGCTGGATCCTAGGCACATTCTTAGCAAAGACATCAATAATGCATTGCTCACAACATGTGATAGGTCTGAAATAACAGAAACAGGAAATTCTAGTGCTGACTGAATTGAAAGAACTCAAAGGTGCAGGAAACTCAAAAGCCTTGAATGGAGTGTATGGAGCCCTTTCAAAACAGTGCCTCCAATTTTAATTTCTAATGTACAGAAAAGTACAACTATTAAATGTGTCAAGAGTGTCATACTATCTTAACTTACAATCAAATCTAGTATTTGTCCTAGTGTAATCTCTACCATATCAAGTCAGAAGCCAGCTATACCAAGAAAGACAACGTACATAGATGTAGCCATTCTTACCATGGTTGCTTTCTGACTTAACTGAAAATGCTTTAACAACTGCTAGTCTCAATAATTACACGCCCCATTGGATAGAATACAAATTTTCAAAAATCTGAATTTCAAAGATACACTGTGGAATCTGCCTTGAACCAATACAGTTCTATTAAGACAGCAAGCCCCATTAAGTTCCTGAAGCACAAGTGTTTTTCCACCTCTTTCTTGGCATATATCCTACTCTTCCTTCATGGAAGATAATCTCTTCCTATTGAGGTTCAATATTTCTAACACAATAGGATTAGGGATGATTCTTCTGTGGATCTGAAGAAATATATTAAATATGCCAACATTCCTCAATCCTCCCAATCTAAGGGAGTGCCCTTATTCTATGAGCGGCCAGTTTTGTATTTTTTTTTATTTGCAAAATCATTCCCTAATTCTTTCCTAACCTATTTCTATAGAAATGTATCTGTCAGTAAATTGCAGATCTTTCTACAAATATTAGTTTTTTACCTGTGTCCTCGTCAAATATAGATATAGCTTCCATCTTCTTTCTGGTACTCTTTTCCTTTGATTTTACAGCAAGATCAGCAAAGATGTCAACATCATCATCAAACAAATTGACTTCCATCTCTTTTGCTTTGTCTGGCAGCTTAACGGTTTCTACTGCAAATATATCATCCTTGAATAAAGAAAAAGACTACTAAGTATAAAAATGATCTTTGAAGGCATATGTTTTCTCTGATTAGTGCTTGTAAAATCAAATACAAGTAGCTCTCTGGAGGCAGGTTGTTCCACTGATTAATTGTTCTAACTGTCAGGAAGTTTCTCCTTAATTCTAGGTTGCTTCTCTCCTTGATTAGTTTCCATCCATTGCTTCTTGCTCTCCTAAGCCCCTTTTCTACATACATAGTATGTAAAGATATAAAGAAGGGGCTCCCAAAATTATTCGCAGGGGTTATAACTTTATTTTAACCTCCCTCTTGAAAGTTACATCATATGACTCCTCTTTTTATCATTTATCCTATCTAATCATCAAAAGCATGTCACAAGTTCACTTTTTTTTCATTTTTATGCATAAAGTCCATAAGAGGCTTCTATTTATCAATAAGTCTTGATTTCTCATGAGTGAATAGCAGGTATATCTGACTGTTAGCTGGGAATCTTTTCGGCCTATGGATTTTGAGAAAGTGGACAGTACATCTAACATGATCTCTGCCACTTTTAAGCTTGACCAATGCTCTTCCTGGATCCTTCAGGGAGTAGTGGAGATGTGACAAGTTGGATTCAGAAGATTGTCAATGTCTTGCTTTGGGTAAGGCTTTACATATGCAGCCTTGGGGAAGACTGTAGTAAGCCCCCTCAAGAGGCCCTGTCTGAATCCAACTCTGATAATCTCTAACCTTTCCTTTTTAGGAAACAATACTTAACATGTGGTTAGAAGAAGCAGATTTTCCTGTTCAGGACAGTTTCAGGCACTGTAGGGTTGGAGATTTTTTAAAAAACAATTTAACACAACTGGAACCTTTCTGGGGGGTGGTTCTAGTTAGGGAAGGGGAATGATTGGACCAGTGGCTACTTTTGTGTTATGCCCCCTCTTCAACTACTTTTTAACATTTAATGAAGCCATTATGAAAAGGCATCCTGAGGGTCAGAATATCCATCAGAATGCTGATGAAATAAAAAATCCCAAATCTATTATTCACTTTCTTGTTACCATTTAAATCAATTGCATTCATCTCAAGTTGCTTCCCCCATCACTCTAATGCCTATGGATTAAACAAAAACAGCACAATACAAAATCAGAAGAATCCAAGTCTGAAGAGAAAAACTTTCAAAATTACCTCAAAAATGTCATGGATTGGGAAGTTTTGATGTAACTGAGGTGTGGGTTCCTCTTCTTTTCTTTTCACAGTTTTCTTACTAGTGATGAAGATATCCTGTTCTTCCTCCGGGAAAGGGACAGGACTTAATTTCTTTAATGTCTTTCTAGAGTGAAAGAGGTTATCACAACTTGTACTCTCTTGTGCAGCAGGAAACAATTCCTCACTTTTTGAAACCTGGCTTACAATGCTTTCAGTTTCCAGGGTTGTTTTTTGTCTTAAGGCTGCTTTAGAATTGTTATCCTTGGTGAAAAGATTGTCGGACTCGAAGAGATCATTCGCATCAGAATAGGCTGTTGATTTTAAAAGAGGGCTATATTTTGACTCATTGGGTTGGTTGCTGCTGTTGGTTGATGGAACCGAGCAAACTTTTTCAGTATTTTTCTTTCTGTGCAGTTCACTATTATATAATATAGTTGGTGGTCCAGAGTTTCCTTTTAAGATAGGCAGAGAGGCGTTCTCTGAAGTATTTATTTCATTTTTGTCAAGTTCTTCAATAGCTAATCGCCTGGCAGTTCTGGTTGATGGTCTTCGTTGCCCGCTCACTTTGATTCTTCCCTGTAATTTGAGTTTATAACATACAATTTGACAGTAAGAGCAGGCAATGCCATATCTTTAAAAGAAGCACTACTGTTTTAAAATTGGTACTCAACACCTTAAGGCAAGAGAGGAAAGAATCCATCTGAATGAGGATATACATCAGAATAGGATAACTGAAGGGAACCTAGAGTGAATACTTTCTTCACAATTTCTCCTTTTGATTTCAGGTAGTTTTGCAATGAGAGAGGTCTTCAAAAATTCTCTTCTTAAGAAAAGTATATCTTTATTAAGGTGAATAGCCTAACCTAGTAATTCTTTCTGCTCAGCTCATTATTCAATTTAAATTAACCACACTAAGTTAAATATATCTTGCCTTTCCCTGTGAAAATGTGGAAAAGAAAATGCTTATCCATTTATTCATTCACTACATTTTTTTCTACATCAGTAAATACTTTGATACCAACTGGCAACTAAAACAAGTCCTATGTAGTTCGTTAAAATAACAATCTTTATAGGGATTTTTCATTATCAAATTACCTTGTTCACATTTTGCAATGTGTTGGCTTTCATAGGGTTATCAAAACTAACTCCCATCTCTGTAGTATTTCTTGTGGAAGCTACTTTGGTATGCTTTGTGTCATCAGGTAAGTGAGATGGTCCCTTTGAAGGTGGTTTCACAGTAGTTTTCTTGTACAGTTTATCTTTTGTGTTAATTTCCAATTCTCCCTTACAAAGTAAAATAAAATTTATCATTTGTGACAGCCAGTATATTCAACATTTTTATTTAACAACTTGGATGAGCATTGATAACATGTGTAGCTGTCCCAAAATTTAGAGGTCTGAAAAAAACACCCAGAATGATAGAACAAGATTACAAAATAACCTGGATATGTTGGGGCAATAAGTTCTTTAATAAGAGAAATGTAAAGTATTATACAAACAGTCTTCGACTGGGAATGGCAGCTTGGCTGCTAACTGAAAAATCATGCGATCGCAACTTATGATTTTACTCTTGCCTTGTACACATATAAATAATCTTTGGTGTCTTTGTAAGGCTTTTGGACTTCGGATAATTGTCTACAGATAATGCATCCAAGTTTAATGATGAGCCATTTATCTCTGCTCCTTCACCTCCCCCCCCTCCACAAAACCTACACAAAAATGTTCTCATAGGAGCAAACCCTCCATCTCCTCCCCACACACACACCAACATTGACATACAGTAGTCTTCAGGTTACAATGGCAATTAGGACCAGAATTTCTGTCACTGAACGATGTGGTTGCAAAACATGAGGATGGCAATCCTGGTGCCATTGTAACCCCAAGAACGTGGTGGTTAAGGGAGGACCTCATGTTACAGCAATATAGGAAGATGTGGGAGTCCCAGGCAAGCAGGCCAGTGAAATCTTCTTAGACATATACTGTAAATGTTGTTGTGAAGGGTTCACGTATACAATCCATTTGCCTTAATTCTCCTTGCATGCAAATGGTGATCCTATGACTGTGGGATGCTGAGACAGTCATAAATGTGAGGATTGGTTACGAAGTTGCTGGTTTTTTTTCCAACTATTGTAACTTTGAACAACTGCTGCACAAGAGAGTTGGCAAGTGACATCTATCTATGTATTCAAGATGTGACTTTCATGGCTTGGAAACTATTAGCCGAGGTGGCGCAGCAGTTAGGGTGCAGTACTGCAGGCCACTTTAGCTGACTGTGTTCAGCAGGTCAGAGGTTCAAATCTCACCGGCTCAAGGTTGACTCAGCCTTCCATCCTTCCGGGGTAGGTAAAATGAGGACCCAGATTGTTGGGGGCAATGTAAATATATATATACATTGCTTACTGGTGTACACCGCTTAGAGAGTGCTTGCACTTAAAGCGGTATATAAGTCTCATAAATAAATAAATAAATTAGCCCAATTATGTAGACTTATTAAGATAGGCCTAACATGATTCTGCGTCTTCAGAATATTATCTTATTTCTCAGCACTTAAAGAACACTTCAGAAAATTTTGCCAAGATAATAGTTTGCAAGTTTCTATCAAAGTTCACCTCTTTTATTCTCTACAGAAACAGTGTACCTAAAAAGAACAAACTTCATTGACAGGAAGCTGAACATGAATCAGAGGAATGAGACTATATTAATGCAGCTCTGGCCTGTATAATAAACATCATACCAAAGACACTTATTTCCCTCTAGTCAGCACTAGTGAGGCTGCACCTGTACAATTCTAGGTATTACATTTCCAGGATTGACGGGTGAGAACAGATTCAGAGGAGTGCATTGAAGATGAACTTTCTTACTGAGAAAGAAAGAAAGAAAAAAAGAAAGAAAGAAAGAAAGAAAGAAAGAAAAGAAAGGAAAGGAAGGAAGGATAAAGAAAATAGCTGATGAGAAAATGAAACTAAAAAAGTAAGTGATCAATATGAATGTACAGTGCTGATATGATTTTGGTCACTTAAAAAGAATCGAATGAGCCCCACACTGCAAAACAATATATGAAAGAAAAGTGAATGAATTGAGAGGAAAGAGAAGATGAAGAAGTAATCATGGTGATGGAGTTATTGAAACACAAAAAAGATACTAGAAATGCAAAGAAAAACAATCCATAAAGAGACATGAATGCAGTTGAAGCAAGCAAATTTTTCAAGGGTAGAAAGAAATAAGGAGCTATAATAAATGGAGTTAGTGTAAACTTATTATTGGTTTACCATTTCTACACTGTGGTTAGGTTTGCTTATACAAAAAGGGAGCAGCACAATAGGTGTGTGTGTGTGTGTGTGTGTGTGTGTGTGTGTGTGTTTCCATCTGAAGATACTTACCCCACTTACTAATGGTTATGGAACATCCAAATGCCTTTCCTTGTTCAGATATGAAATTTTCATATATTCAAACTGTAATTCAAAATTGCACTTTACAAACCTCAGTGGCCTGAGTTTTTGATTCTCCCTGTTTCTCATTTTGATTAGTCTGCAGAACTTTACTATCCTTTTCCAAGGACAAAATGGTGCTGTCTTTCTCTATTTTCATTTTCTTTTCCAGTACCTTACAAAAAATAAAATTAAAGTAATATATTAAAAAAGCAAGGTGGTGCTTTATGTTAGTTATGAAAGCAGCTGCAAGTTGCCAATGTCATTAATATTTAAAAACTGAAATATGTGCCTTGCTCTAAAATGACAATTTATGATTACAAAAACAGAATAGTGCATTCTCTTAGAATAACTTAAAACCAACTTAATTTGTTTCAGTATACTGATTTATCAAGTCTAAACATTATAAACATGGTAAAATCAATACTATTTATCCCAATTATTTGTCAGCTTAAACTTTTACATGGGTAGAGGCATAAGTATGTCAAATTAAGAAAAAAGGAAATAGATATGGATCTATAACTCCATTCTACTACTCAGCTTTTTTTTCTTTTCAAATAAAGTTGAACTGTAAAATGTAAAAACTGCCAGTCAGCTTGGAGCCTTTTCATATTATGTAAATCAACTATGTTTTTTGTTGCCACATTTTAAATTGTGAGTTTAGATTCTGAAGAAACTTTATGAATACTACTGGGCTCTGATGCAATTCTATTTATATTCTGCACTATTGCTCTCAATTTCTCTCTCTGTGTGTGTATGTGTGAGTGTGTAAATTATATCGAAGTAACAAAATATTTTAAACCAAAAGAAAATACTATAGTATTGCATGTCAAAAGTAACAAAAAAGATCCTTATGGGCATCTCAGAAGATTCTTCAAAATAACATGTTGCTTTTGGCAATCATTCTGGAGTATGTACCCATTAGCTTGCTCTTAGGAAGATCCTCCAATTGTAAGCTATAGGGTAGCAAATGTTGTGACAGCCAAGCAGCAGCAGTGCTCTTGAAAGGAGGGCAAAAATGTTTTGTTCCAAGCTTAGATCACTCAAAGCTTGGAATAATTTGCATACCTCTATTATGTGATTTAAACAATCTCAAGCAATCCAAACAAAAAGCAACATCTGAGGCCTTTTCAAATATTAAATACAACATGATAAGTACCAAGGACTTTGTGGCAGAACTGCTGAACAGACCATCGTCACCATTGTCATCAGTCCCAAATAGCCATTCTCCAGATGATAATTTTGCTTTAGGGCTTGAAATCTGAAATTGAAACAGAAATATACATATGTATCATATACATAGGATAAACAAATAACTATTTCCTAAATACTTTTTACTTATTTTTTAACAAATCACTAATTTTATACAACGGTAGTATCAGACTGTTGTTCACAAGTTGAGTTGCCATAATCTAACTTAAGAGATAAAAAGGCATTTCTTATATAGTTCTTACAATCAGAAGTGAATCCCTCAATGATGAAATGATCCACTGTGTAAAAAGAACTATGTCCACTTCTTCGCTTTTAAAAAGTTACATGCCTATTTAAAGTTTATACTCCCTCTGTTTCTCTGCTATCTGGGTTGCTTAGAGTTGTCATTTAGCAGTATTTGGAGGTCCACAGTTTCCTACACTATCATATTCCATCCTCATAATTACTTATAAGCAGTGCTTTTTTTGTAAAAAAAAAAAAAAAAAGGTGCCAGAACTCACACACGTCATACAACCCACCTTGCCTATCGTACAAGGTTCCATCCAAAAAAGGTGCAGGAACTTCGTTCTGGGCATTCTATGACAAAAAAAGCCCTGCTTATAAGTACTTTAAAGTCAAATCCATTATAACACTTTTTAAAGCTTACATGCAATCCATTAAATCAACAGAAATGTCTAACTTTTGCTCACTATTTAACCATTTGGAAATAAAGCAATCTGTAAACAAAAAAATGAAAGCATTTACTGTTGACTGACCACTTTTTCGTTAGCAAAAAGGTCAACTTCAGGATCATTGTCTTCCTGCAGTTTACGGCTGAAGAGAAGTTCTTCATCTTGAAACACACCTGTGCTCTTCTCTGAAGGCTGGAAAAACCCATTGAATTTTTTTTCAAAACACAGTGTCAAAATGAAACAATTAGAGCAGATCAGCTACTTGCTGAGGAACTCATCTGTATACAAAAATAGCACAGCCCACTGATGTTGTGTGGTGGGCAACATACAGGCAGTCCTTATTTAGTAACCACAGTTAGGATCAGCAGTTGTTAAGCAAAGCAGTTGTTGAGAGTGAAATAACATAACTACAACTCAGCTTTTGTTTTTCCCATTTTCTTACCCTTTGGAATATTCACCCAGGTCTTGAGATAATTAGAAAGAAGGGAAATAATGTTTGTACTTTCAGTCATTGGAGAGGAAGGGATTAAAGACAGTAAGAAGGTACACAATGGAGGAATAGAAAATCAAAAACATTACATTGGTACAGGCAGTGGGTGTATTTTCCACTCTACATCTGGGTTAGTATTTTGTAATCTTTTCTTCTCCAATATTTCTGCTGTGCAAGAGGGGGTAAGAAGAAAAAAACAAATCGAGTACAAGAGAAATGCTTAAAGAGATTGCTTCTTTTTTTCTTCCCTTGCAGAGTAGAAAATGCTCAAATAGGAAGGGAAGAAAATGAGGGAAGTGTAGGCAATCTACACTATAGGCAATCTTTTCTGTGCCTGACTTGTTTCCTTCCCAGAGTGGAGATACAGGAGAGAAAGGGATTACAAAATAGTAAGCAAGCACGCAATGGGGAATACACTGACCATATGTTATCAGTTTTAAAATATTTTACAGCAAATTGGGATTCTTTGGGGAAAAGTGGAGTGATACTAATACTGCAACTCCAGACTAAAAAAATTAAGTCCTACAAACTAATAACAGTGAAGACAAGTTAGATATTTTTAGTAACCCACCCAGGGTCTATGACAACTCACAGCAGCCAGATGGGCATGGATGGATGGGTATGGCCAGATGGGTGTGGCTGGGTGGGCACAAAGGAGTGCATGTGGCTGGGTTGATGTGGATGACTCAGCACAGATGACTTGGCACAACCAGGTGGGTGTGGGCAGGTGGGCGTGGATGGGTGGGTGTGGATGGGTCAGTGTGGAACAAGTTACCCCTGCCAAATGGACATGGGGACAACTCAATGGCCCACCAGCTCCTTGCCTCCCCGAACTACCAGCAGGTAAGCGTGTGCCTCCTGGAGCCCATGCTGGAGCCTGGCAGTGGTCAATCCACCGCCTCCTCTGGAAAAACTTCCTTTCAGACCAATGGGGGGAAGAGTTTGAAAGAGCTCAAATCTCCAGTTGCATTAAAAGCTCTGTGGTGATGTCAGTGCTCTTGTAACCTTACCTAGACACAACCCCCCCCCCAAAAAAGGGTGGGGGTTGACACCTTTCTCACTCCAGGGCTGAGAGAAGATTCGATTTGCTCCTGCCGTCCTTCCCCTTCTGAGAATTGCAACTTTGCCTGTCCTCCATCCATGTGGCTTCCACTGCGCTGCACAGGTTGAGAAACCAGCTGGAGACCCTGGCATGGCAGGTCCCTCCCTACCCACAGCACCGCTCACTTCCCTCCCCACATGGATGGAAGGCAGGCAAGATGCCTTCTGCTGGTCTGTGGGTTTAAGCCGAGAGGCAGCAGTCAACTTTGCTGGTTCAGGGAGAGTCTTTCTGGCTGGCTGATCTGTGGGAAGTGCGGGGGAGAGCCAAGCGGTGTGCCAGGAGCTGGGGTGTGAAATTCTGGATGTGTTGGCAGCCAGCAAGTAGCTGTGAGGAAGGGAGAGATGGTGGGAGGGAGAAAAGATGGGACAGGAAGGGAGAAGGACTCTTGTCATATACCAGGGACAAAGCTGGTGGTGCGGGGAAACACTGCCCCATCGGAAAGATGTCCTTGACCCACCGCCAGGCGGGCAGCGAAGGACTTCAGTCGGTGATGGGACATCCACGGGGTGGGGTGAGTGGGGGTTGCTGCTGCCCTGTCAAGTCTCCTCTTTTTCGGGAGCATGTGGGGTAGGGGACAAGGCCTCCCCACCCCCCAAAGAAAAGAGAGATCTGCACAAGTTGAGAATATTGCTGCACTGATCTGGGGATTCAGCAGGCACACTGTTGCACGTAAAAATCATCCAAGAGTAAAAATCCATTGTGACAATATATTTGGCAATACATGCGCACACGCATGCGTGCTCACACACACACATGCCTGCTGGTGAAGACTTAAGGAGTTGAGTCTGTGTTGCTGGGACTGGAGCACCGAGGACACCCCAAAGTTGAGATGAAAGGGACAGAGGTGGGGGCTGGACGTTTCGAAGTAGGAAGAAATTCCACAGTAATCAATGACTCACAGTGGATTTGAGTTGGGGGGGGCAATAGAAGGGGTGGGATCTCTCTCCATATTGGAACACTATTTTTAAGGGGGTTTCTAGCACTGGAATGGGATGACTCACAATGGCAGTGCAAAGTTGCAATTCTCAGAAGTGGGGAGGACAGCAGGAGCAAATCAAATCTTCTCTCAGCCCTGGGGTGGGGAAGGTGTCAACCCCCCCTTTTTTTGTTGGTGGGACACTGTGTTGTCCCCAAGTATAGTTGGCCAGGGTGAATTATTTCACATCTACCTGGCCATGTCGTGCCATTAACAGCCATCCATCTGTGCCCACTTTCCCATGCCCACCAGAGTCATGCTGAGTCAATCGCATCGTCTCGGCCACACTCACTCCTTTGTGCTCACCCGGCCACATCTGCCCACTGTGAGTTGTCTCATTCCACTACCACCCCATGTTACTCACCTTCCCTATTCCAATATGTTTATTCTTACTAGAATCCATAACTTCATTTTTCTCCTCTTCCTCAAACAAACTGTATACAGTTCGCATCTTTCTCTTGGCATCTTTCTCGAAAAAGAGCTGGAAGTTCATAGAGAGAAGTTATTATTTGGGCCTGTGTCAAATTGATTAAATTTGTCAGATGTTCAGACTGGAATTAACATTTTTGTCCGGCTATTGAGTCCTTCCCAAAGACGTGGGATAATAGATATCTTTGCAGAATATAAGCTGTTCCAAGTAAAGGTACCTTTTGCAATTGACTGATGGTGAATTGTCAATGCTGATGATGTTCAAGTAATGCTCTATTGCACCTTTGGTACCTATTACTATTGGTACTACCTTTGCTTTCCTTTGCCACAATCGTTTTATTTCTATTTACAGGTCTTTTTATTTTGTTATCTTCTTCAGTTCGTTCTCTTCTCTTCTGTTTTCTCCAAGTACTGCCATTTCCACTATCCAGACTTTTTTTGTCTTTTTTATTTACAATTGTTAAGTCTGGTATGTTTATTATTCCACTTTATATATACAAAGTAGTAAACATATATCTAATATCTAATAATTTGCTCAACTCCACAAATCGATTTGTGTAGGATATTATGTGGCAAACAAAAATAATATTAAACGTTAGCATCTTCCAAGTTTAATAAACAGAAGACAAAGATGTTAGCAAAAATATGAAAATAGGAGCTCAAATAAAATTGATGAATAAAATAGGTTTTAAGACTGAACAGAAAGCAAAATATCTGGGTGTCACTATGACAAGTGATAAAAGTGAACGTCTTGCCAAAATGACTTTTTTGTTTCAGACAATACATGCTTTGACACTTGATTCACTATTTAAGCAATGGCGGAAGGATATGTTTAAATTTGTGTCACCAGAAAGCATGAATTAAATACAAGGTGTTATAAGATGCAATGGAAAGAGGAGGATTGGGTTTACTTGATTTGAAATTATATTTTGCAACTTGCTGTTTGGTTTATATGAAAGAGCAGGTTCTGCTCAGAAATAGAAGGCTCTTGGAGTCAAAAGGACGAGACCTGAGATTTGGTAAGCTGTTGCAAGAAGATTGCACAGACTGACTACAAGCAGCAGCATGACAAAGTAGAAACAATGGTGTATTAGAAGACCTGCAAGAAATACCATTTGCCTGCAAACAAGAACTGGTGGGACCATAAAATAGAGAAAGTCATAGAAAATGAAGAAGCTAAAGTGCTCTGGGATTTTAGAACAGGGGTCCCCAACTCCCGGTCTCTGGACCGGCATCGGTCCGTAGCATGCCAGCAAGTGGGCTGCACTAACAAGCAAAGCTCCATCCTCGGGATGCAAGCAGTATTCAAAACCACATACCCTGTGGTCTGCGAAAAAAAACCTTTCTCCATGGCACCGGTCCCTGGTGCCCAAAAGATTGGGAAGCTCTGTTTTAGAATTCAAACTGCCACAGACTTAACAATTGTCAATAAAAAAGACAAAACAGTCTGGATAGTGGATGTGGCAGTACCTGGAGACAACAGAATATGAGAGAAAGAACTGGATAATTCAAAAGACTGTGAAGAGAAATAAAACAACTATAGCAAAAGGAAGCAAAGGTAACTCCAATAGTAATGGGCACTTTGGCTGCAATCTCAAAATAACAGGAGCATCTCTTGAACACCATCAATACTGACAAATTCACCATCAGTCAATTGCAAAGGCAGCTTTACTCAGAACACCTTACATCCTGTGGCAATATTTATAACACCATTAAACATCACCACCTGCCTATTCCAGGTGCTTGGGAAGGACCCACTAGGCAGACAAAAACGCCAAATCCAATCTGAACATCTGGCTGACTGTGAGATGGACAACTTTGTCGTACAATAAAGCAAAGTTTAAAAATCATTAGGTTATACATGCGATATCAAGAATATGAAATTAATACAAACGCAGCCTTTATGATTCTCAGCACAAGAAACATTTACAGGCGAGAAATATTAGAAAACAAAAATGACTTAGCTATTGTGAGAAATCAGAATTTTGTCAAGGGGAATTTAAAATAAAAGAAAACTGGTGGCAGAGGAATGTACCAATGATTTTCTTATGTACAACTATCATAAAGGTTTAGAGTAGAAAAAAATAATTTATGGTTTTGAATAGCGTAAGATAAATTTGAAATAGAATTGCTTACCAATGAACATGTAATTATTGAAATAAAACTTTTACTGAAATTTGAAACAGAAGTGAGATAATGTATGATAAAAAAAATTGGTTATAATATGCATATGGAACAATGGGAAAATATGGGGTTGAAAGGACTGAAATCTTAAAGAGATTTTTTATAAAATGTTGCACCATTGGTATGTAGCAACATATACATAATATATACAAAGTTTTTCCTCACTTTTTCATTCCTTTGTTGCTCCAGTACATTTCCTCCTTCTCCAAGATCATAACCATGATGTATACCAGATTCTTCTGAACGTCCTGCCTTCTTTTCTATTAATTTCTTTTGAGGTGTTTCCAAGAAATCTTTCTGCTGATCAAGAAGTAAAAGAGGAGAATTCTACCCTTCTCTATAAAACTCTATTTTTTACAACTGTAAGCACCCATGCCACAAATGGCCTGGATGTATCATGTATGTTAACAATCAGTGCTTAACTGATGGATACACATATACATCTTGTATTAAAATTAGCTCAGAAATTCATGGAATTCCAGTTCAGAGGGAACCGCTAATTGTTCACAGAATTTTGTTCACACACACACACATATAGCATATTTAAATGTGTTATGTATGTGTACACTTTGAGAGCAAGCAACTAAATTTCATTTTTAATGTGTGCCATTGTGCCCACAGTAAAAAATGGCAAAGGCTATCTATCTATCTATCTATCTATCTATCTATCTATCTATCTATCTATCTATCTATCTATCTATCTATCTATCTATCTATCAGTGGTTCTCACCCTTTCTAATGCCGCGACCCCATAATACAGTTCTCCATGTTGTGGTGACCCCCAACCACTTATACATCACCGGTTGCCAGGGGCATGGCCAAAGAAAAGGGAAAAAAAATGGCGGACAGCCTTGTTTGGCGACCCCCGTGAAATGGTCGTTCGACCCCAAATGGGGTCCCGACCCACAGGTTGAGAACCACTGATCTATCTAATCTATTTTATCTTAATCTGCTTCACCAGAAAATCCAGTCCTAACAGTTGCCCTTGAACATCAAAATAGCCAATGTTTTATATTCAGAAGTTTCTATTATTATTTGTGATTTACTATGTTATCCAGATGACAAATAGGAAGATACATTATAACTGGGTTTTGCTGTTTAAATTTAGACAACAAAGTAGTGGAATTTACTGTTCATGTTGTATTTGTTACCAACCAGATACATCATTTATAATACTTTTTTAAAAAGAATGAATTTATTATAGTGGATAGAACCAGTTTGGTCTAGTGGTTAAGGCACTATGCGTGAAAGTGGGAGATTGTGAGTTCAAGTCCTGCCTTAGCCATGAAAGCCAGCTGGGTGACTTTCGACCAGTCACTCTCTCTCTCAGCGTAACTCACCTCATAGGTTATTGTTGTGAGGAAAATAGGGGAAAGGAGGTATGTTGGATATGTTTATTACCTTACTTGTAAAAAATAAATAAATTAGATTTGATCACTTCATCATGTATATGATTAAAATAGATTCTAATCCACAAATTCTCATAATACATTTAATAATCTGACAAACTGCTGTAAGATTCTGCTATGCTTACACAAATCTTTCAGATTGCAATCCCATAGCTGATTATTCAGAAATGTCACCTTTTCCCCCCTCAAACCTTCATTGGATGCATCTAAGTGGCTATAACCCTCATTAGGATGACACTTTCTGCAATGTGCAGAATAGGATGCAAAGTGCTGTATCAGGTGAATGAGAGTGTTAACCTTTTAATGCAGGCTCTTCAAACTTGGTCCTTTTATGACTTGTGAACTTCAACTCCCAGATTTCCTCAGCCAGGCATGCTGTCTGAGGAATTCTGGATGTTGAAGTCCACAAGTCATAAAAGGGCCAAGTTTGAAGACCCCTGCTTTAATGTTTACAAAGTCACAATTTGGATTACTGCTTACTTGGTCTGTACATACTGTTATTGTTTGGGCATCAGATGAGGCTGGTTGAGGGCTGGTTAAGGCTGGTTGAGAGCTGTAGTGCAAGGTACCATCTTCAAATAGAGCAGCAGTTTTTTGAGGTGTTTTTTTACTGCTGAAACAAAGAAAAAAAGTCAAACCTGCATTATTTAAAATGATTAAGATTTGGAGTTTGGTCCAAGGTGGATGTCTGCTATTGCCTTGTTACCTTTTATTATAATGGTATTTTAATAGTATATCTGTGATTTAGCTAATAGCTAGAATTTTGTAATTATTTCTTTACAACTATTTTCACAAATATTTTATCAGTTAGGTCAAGCTAAGAGCTAACCTAGTTAAGTATTATATTGCCTACATTAATTAATTGTAAAATGTCTGAGCTAAGAATAATTCCTGGATTTTTCCCCCCTTCTTTTTTGTGCCTTTGTTGACTCCTGGTAACTTCCTGCACTAGTCCCTGAGGTTTTCTGGGCAAGATTTCAAAAGCAGTTTGTCATAACCTTTTTCCTAGGGCTGAGAATCATCCAGCTGGCTTTGTGCCTAAGGTGGGAGTAGTATTTACAGTCTCCCCATTTCTAGCCTGATGGATTAACCACTATACCAAATTGGCTCTCCAATTCCTGATTACAACATAAATATAAGCATGCAGTTTTATTGGTACTTCCGCACTTCTTTTGGTATCTTTCTCTGACTTCCCATGTAGCCTTTAGCCCTAATAAACCCTGGTGGCAACTCTTCCAGTAGTCATCAGACTACCATTATTTGAGTACCTGCCATTATTTGAATACCATAAACTGAATACAATTATTTTTTTTAGTCACTAAAGATGGAAGCAAGAAGAAAGTCTACAGTAGCAGATCCAGAAAGGGTTGGTAAAGGTTAATAATCCCATGCGGTCAAAGGCTACTCTATGGAAGCACAGCTATTTGTCTTAGAATGTTTAAAGAATTATCTTTTTTCACTTAGATTGTTGCCTTATTAATGACTATTAAGACACATGCTATCAGATCTGACCAAATGATTTGTGATGTTACAGCTACTTCTTGTTGAAGAGATGCTGGTTGCTGGCTGAATACACCAGAGCAATCCATCCTCTGATCAACTGTTCCTGATGGATAGTATCTCCTTTGTTCATGGTGTTGACAGGTGAGTAATGTGACCCTTTTAATGCTTCTGGTGTTCAGCTGAAATTTGTTCTTCCTATGAGCTCACTTTTTTAAAAAAAACAAGCTCCTGTAGTCTTTTTTTCCTCCAGTGTTTATTTCCCCCTCAATTCTTAGCATAATAGTTTAAGAAAATGATTAGTGGCATAACCCCCCCCCCATATGGTTTATGTAATTTTTTCCTACTTTTTCCAAAAACAATCCTTTTTATCATGCTGCTGGCCCTTTCTTTCTGACAATTTCTTTCACATCTTTTCCATTTTTATTTTTTGTTCTTATAATAGGCAGAGCTATGACTGAGGAGATGCTGTTTCTTCCACATGTCCAAAAAGCATTTATTGTAGTTTATAAGTTTGCCTTTTTGTAAGAGAGAGGGAGTTAACATTTTCCTGTCAGCTCTATCTTTGGGGGCTGAAAATAATGCCTTTTTAGGTCCCCCAGAATCTGGGGAAGCCGGAGGTACAACTCTCATGAAGAGATGTTAACAGTTTTTGTGCTTGAGAATGCACTAAATAACAATAATAAAAAAACCCCTATGCTCCCCTTTCTCAGAAATAGCACCTGCTGGAGGCCGTCTTAGCTAATCAGGCATTTGCACTTAAAAAAAAAAAAGTATTCAGTAATAATTGGACTCTACAGAATCTTAATTCTGATCATTTCCCAATGCTCTTCAACCATTTCCCAATGCTCAGAAGTAAGAAAGTAATAGATTCAAAACTCCTAATTTACAAAAACAATTCAGATACTTTGTCACTTAATCTGAACCAATTATCTTTTTTTTTAAAAAAAATCGTTTTTGAATAAAATACAGTATTAATAAATGAACATGTCATTTTCTTGTAGCTAAATCTTTTACCTGTCTTTTGTGGTAACAACAAAATCATCTTCTCCTTCTCCTCCTTCTTCAAAGAGGCTTCTCTTAATAGCTTGACTGGACCCATAAGCAGACTTTACAGGTACCTTTTTTTTACTTCCTTCAGAAGTAGCTTTGACCTCTTTTTTATTATTACAATGATCCTAAAAACATACCAGTTATTATGTAATTATTCTTCAGTCTTGTAATTCATTATTCAGATACAGAGGTTCAAATATGGTGGGTCAAGTTCACATCAAAGTACATCAATAAATGCATAATAATCAAGATGCTACCAAAATAGTGACATACGAACCTAGAACTAAACCAATCTCACCATATAACTCAAATGTTTCTCTTAAGAGCATGAAATCAAAATAAGATTAAATATTAGTTATAGTTTAAAGGGGATCCTAATGGAAAACAGGTTATGAATATGACCTATGAATATGTCTTTTTACTAGTCTGCAATTAGGGTTCTTCCTGATAAAATATGTCTAAAATCCTTCAGTGACTCATGACCTAGTTTTCTGTCATACTGCAATATCTTCTACATACTAGAATAGTCCTAGAAGACTATTCAGAAGTTTTAACTTTTCCAGAATGGAGTGGTGAAGGCAGTGACAGACATGTCTCAATATGACCATACAGTAACTCTGCTTTGTGGGTTTCCCTGTTTCCAGTTTACTTTGGGGTGTGATTTAAGGTGCTGATTGTTACCTATAAACCTGACGGATTGCCTGTCTCACATAGTATCTGCCAGCCGATTCAATCAGAAAGGGTTAGTATGCCAACAGTAACCAAACAATGGTATTTGTTGGGACTCTGAAAGAATATTGCCTCTTGTTATAATCCCTGCCCTCTGGAATTAGGTTCTTGAGATCTGTGTAGCTTCTTCCTTCCTGGTATTTAGGAGGGCCTTAAAGAGCTGACTCCACATCCAGGTTTTTGGCGAGGAAGGATTGTAGATCGTTTGGATCCGTTTCTTGTTGCCCAGTTTTTGCCATCTTTTGTTCCTTATTTTTAGTGCTGGGTGGCTTTATGTATTGCCCAGAGTCTCTTGTAGTCATGTGATGCACAAATTTAAAATAAATTCAACCTCCCTGATTCAAAATTCCTACTTAACACATAATTTACATTCTGAAGAAAAAGCAATCCTGTAACAACAGAAGATATTTAATATAACGGTTGTTCCATGTTTTTTTATCATGTTTATTTCTGGATCTTAGTCCTTATATCTGGGGCCAACAGAACTTCAGAGGCAGAGTAGGTTCATTTGGCACTGTATATTCTACATTGGCTTGAAATAGAGCAAATGAAACCATCATATGTAAACAATTCCCAAGCAATGAAGGTTCTATAGTAAACAAATGTGGCTTCATGTTGCAGACCCACATTTTAATAACCTCTGAACATGGTACCTCTTCATCACTGCTGAAAAATAAGGTGGCTGTTCTCTTCTGAGAAGATTTTGACATCTTTGGCACAGATCCAAAGAGGTCCTGGAAAAAAAACAACAAGTAGAATTTAATTTACTGCAGACAATGAAAAACCAATCTCTATTAGGCTCCATATTTTTACTATACAACTCATAATTAATCAATGCACAGTAAACAGAATAAAATAGACTCAAAGGAACACAATATAATCTGTTTCATGTAGTGATTAAGCTGCTGGCCTAGAAATCAGGAGATTGTGAATTCTAGGTTCCCCCTTAGGCAAGAAATCTGGCTGGGTTACTTTGGGCCAATCTCTCTCTCTCTCTCTTCTCTCTCTCTCACACACACACACTTTTTGAGTCATTTAACTGGATTCTCTTGTCTAGTTTTTAGGATTTGTGTGAGAACCGGTCACATATTGGCACACAAATATTGACAAGTCAAAAGGGTTCACAAATTTTAAGCCCCAATGTAACTTTCTTAAGTTCATGTATTATAAAGCTATTTAGCTGCACCTTTACATCTCAAAAATACATACCATCTATGAAAATAAGAAAGCTAATTTTCTAAATAATTATCCTACTGAATGATAGAAGGTACACATTGAGTGTTGTGCTCCAGTGCTAAGATCTGATGTCTTTTTATTTATTCATATTTCACATTTTTGAGCTGCCCATTTCCTTTTTCCAGTCTCCTTCATTGATATTTACATAAGTTATTTTCAAGGCTTGTACAGATTCTATTCAAACTTCTGTTCAACTTCCCTATTAAACAATTAAATGCACCTCACTTTGAAATATGCGGTCTTTTTCATCCCTACATGCCTTTCTGAAGAACTATGTTTTATGGTTTTCTGAAAATGTGATAAGGAAAGACCATCACTGAGAAGGCTTGAGCCCTGCAGTGAAGGCGTCATTCTCTCAATGATGGAACTTCCTTTCTCTCCCAGATCTTACCTGGGAATGAGATTTTACTTGGAGATATCCAGTCCATGAGCTCTAAAATTGATGATTGGTATCCTGAATTGCATCCAGAAGCTAACCTATACCACAATAGCTTCCATAGTAGTGGTGTTATATGAATGAACTTCCACGTATCTGTAACTGTAACCTGTAACTACTCAGTTTCCTGCATATACCACCAGCTTCCACATCATCTTCAAGGGCAACCTCACACTGACTATTGTAATAATCCAGCCATGAGATGATAACGCTACTAACTATGAGTAAAACTTTCGGATTTGGGAAATACTTTTTATATTGATTATATTAATTTATATTACATCTATGTTTAAAGAGCAGTGGTTCTCAACCTGTGGGTCAGGACCCCATTTGGGGTCGAATGCCCATTTCACGGGGGTCGCCAAACAACGCAGTCCGCCATTTTTTTCCCCCTTTTCCTCAGCTGTGCTACTCCCTTTTATTCTATTGGCTTTTGAAAGCCAATAAAATAGACTCTCTTGAATAGAGTCTAATTCTATTGGCTTTCAAAAGCCAATAGGAATTGTCCAGGCTGTCTCTGCCCTGCTGAGCCCGCCAAAAGCCCCAGTCTGCAAATGGTGCTGCACCAGTTGAGTAATCCTCGACTTACGACCGGTTGAGTAGTCCTCGACTTACAACGGTTGGGGGTCGCGGCATTAAAAAGGTTGAGAACCACTGGTTTAGAGTTAATATTGAGTATACTAATAGATGAACATCAGTGGGGATCAAATCATAACTCTCTACCATGCCCTTCTTACACATGCAGCCACTGTTAGTAGGCCTGGAAGTAATAACTACTTTGTCATCTCCATGATTCTTGCGGAAACCTCAGGAATCACTTTCAAGTGGTCCCTAAAAATAAGATGTGAGAATACCCTCCATGAAATTCTGAGAAAATCTGCAGTCAGTAAATTTCTGTCTTCTCTAAAGTCTCATGGAGGGCATTCTTATATGCTTATATAAATTCATAAACACATGAATGGAAAAATGTTTTATTCCAAACAAACCACTAACAGTATTTTATATTCCAAAGTTGTATTTGGAATCTTTCACAGTAGGACAAAATGGGAACTTAAAACAAACTTTATGTGCTTAGGACGAACTATTCCCATACTCTCTGCCGGGCAATCCTAAATCAGCAGTGTGCAACTTCTGACGAATATACTGCAGATACATTTGACATTGGTGGTTAATTTTGCATTTTCCGTGATGAGAAATATTTCATATTAAATTTGTTTTCTTTTAAAAAGATTTTCAGTTTTAGTTCTGTAAGATGTAGATATTAAAAAGAAGCATCAAATCAACAGACAAGAAGTATATTTTTACATTGTTCCTGACTATGCTGAAGTGAATACAGTATTGCTGCTTCTTTGTTGGTCTCAGTTTTGTGGTTGCTGATTATGGCTGAGCAAGCAACCCAATCAAGGATTGGGGGGAAGAAAGGAAGATTATGGCTCAGAATAAAAAAAAAAAAAACTGAGTAAAGCAGTGCTTCAGAGGAAGTTGGTTTTAAAGAGAGAAAAACACCTAACTGAAATTACGATGTATATTAAGAGTGTTTCTGGAAAGCTTTGTTTTGTTGGTACAAAATGAGACTGTTGCACATCTGAGTTTGTATTTTGAATTTCATCTCCTTTCTCTCAATCCATCCTCTAGTGACCTTGATAGATTTGTTTTATTTTAACATTAACCTTTTATTGCTTGAGAAATAAAATTCAAGATCGTAGATTACATTAGATCTGATTTTTGGTTCTTAGGTAAATTGACCTGTGAAAGGACCTATTAAGTTTCAAACACACAGATCAATACAAATGGAATTTTCTCAGTTTTACAGTCATCTTGTCACCTTTTACTATAAAATGTTGTTTTCAGATATTACATACCTCTTCTTCCTCATCTTCAAACAAAGACAATGAAGTTTTTATCGTTACTTTAGTAGATGACAAAGATGAATTCTTCACTTCTGTAGGCTGATGTGAAGAAAACAAATCCTGTTGCGTATGAAAGAAAGCCACATATAGCATTTTTAAAGATATGCATTTACCCTTTTGGAATGTTTTCAGCAGCCAACTGAAGACAACAAAATGGCAAATGGAAGAATGCTATCCCTTGATAGCAAGGAATCATTATGTTAACAGCCTTTCTATTAAAACAGTAAACACTAAATAACTATTCTTGTGTAACACCTTTGTGCTGTCAAACATTTTAGTAAAGATACTGAGCCCAAGAATTGATTCCATATCTGACAGAAGATGAACTAATGTTAAAATAAAACACTCCTGAAACACACTTCCACAATCACTGTTGGACAGGTGCTATTCTGAGCTCTGGTAGTTATAGGTAGTAGGAAGGAAGTAAAGACTGGTTCCTCCAGTTAACCAAGTTACATGTCAAGGCAAATATTAGAGACTTGAGTTGTGAGCCTCTAGTTTGCAGCAGATATTTGATTGTGCTAGCCCACAACATGTACCCTTTTATCCCCATCCCAGTAAAGAAGAAATTCTCATCTCATCTTTATAATAAAAAATTCTCCTATATTGTTCAACTTAACAGAATTACAGAATAACAGAGTTGGAAGGGGCCAACCCCCTACTCAAGCAGGAGACCCTATACCATTCCAGATAAGTGCTATCCAGTCAATTCTGATGGAGCACCTACAACTTCTGAAGCAAGCCATTCCATTGGTTGTTTTCACTATTAGGAATTTTTTCCTTAGTTCTAGATTATTTTTCTCCTTCATTAGTTTCTATTCACTGCCTCTCCTTTTGGTGCTTCGGAAAATAGGTTGACTCCCTCTTCTTTCTGGCAGCTCCTCAAATATTGGAGCACTGCTTTCATGTCACCCCTAGTCCTTTTTTTTACTAGACTAGACAAACCCAATTTCTGCAACCGTTCTTCATATGTTTTAGCCTCCAGCCCCCTAAACATCTTTGTTGTTCTTTTATGTACTCTTTCCAAAGTCTTTACATCTTTTTTATAATATGGTGACCAAAACTAGATGAGGTATTCTAAGTATGGTCTTACTAAGGCTTTATAAAATGGTACTAATACTTCATGTAATATTGATTCTATCCCTCTGTTAATGCAACCTAGGATTGTATTGGCTTTTTTGGCTGCTGTTGCACACCGCTGGCTCATATTTAAGTGACTGTCCATTAGGACTTCAAGATCCCTCTCACAGTTACTGCTAATGATCCTGGTTTCACCTAATCTGTACCTGTACATTTGACTTTTCTTGCCCAAATGTAAAACCTTACTTTTCTCTATACTGAATTTCATTTTATTAGATAGGACCCAGTGTTCAAATCTGTTGACATCCATCTGGATCTTGAGCCTATCTTCTGAAGTGTTGGCTATTCCTGCCAGTTTAGTGTTGTCTACAAATTTGATGAGTTCCCCTTTTATTCCTTCATCTAAATTGTTTATGAAGATGTTGAAGAGTACTGGGCCTAAAACGGAACCTTGGGGTAATCTAACTGCTTCCTTTCTTCCATGTAGATGTAGTTCCATTGAAGACTATACGTTGAGTGACTCAACTACAATGAGTCAATTACATTGAGTTGCAAGTTAAGTACAACTTAAATATCCCATTTCTAGAAATCTTAGTAATTGGAGTTCCATGGCTAGTAATCATAACAATTAATTATACTGTAGGCTTTCACATATCATGCTAACATTGCAAAGGAGACATAATTATTCCCAGCTTCAGTATTTCAATAAGGAGGTGGTATAAGCAATATTTAACTGTATGCTAAATTAAATCATTAAGAACTTACTTCAGAATCCTCTTCATCAGAGAATAGGCTTTTCTGACTCTTGAAAGGTGTTGGAGTTAAATTTTTGAACTTCTTATCAGAAGAAGGTTGACTCTTAAAAACACACAATACACATACAAATTTATAAATCTAAAAGTTTAATGTAAGCAGTCTACTTTTGAAATTACTTCCAGTCATTGATTTGTGATTTTTTTTTCTGTAAATTTGGAAAACCAATATATGAAAACTAAAGACAAGTGGTTTCTGATTATGAAGAATTTTCTTCCTTTCAGGCCGCATTCTGGCCTTTTCGTTTTTCCTTTCCCTATCCTCATTAGAAGGGAATGTAGACTGTATGCACACAATCAAAACTGAAAATTCAGAGGTGGTACCAACTCTGAATTATCAGTTTTCATTGGGTGCATACAGAATACATTCCCTTCCATTGAGGGCAAAGAAAAACAAAATCATATGAAGACAAGGAAAAACAAAATGCCCTCGTTTCTTATGCTTTAGAATTAAGCAAAAGAGCTTAATCTAACTACATGGTAATATTTGAGAGAGAAAAACAAAGGTTTTATCATGAACTAACTCTTAAACCTAGATTACAACTGTGCACTAGAAGTTCAATCATCATAGATTTGCAAACATCTAATCAGATAATTTATATAAGCTAATTCACTATATTTTGTTATAGCATGCACTGATCCTATTTACCAATTACTTTATGTCATAATTAATCAACACTTTTCTTTTTATGCGACCAAAGAGCAGGTATTGCTCCTTGTGCTTCAATCAGACAATCAGATTTTGTCCACCTGCAAGAAAGAGATGGTGAAAAATTAAGAGCTAAAAGGACAGAAAGTGTCTTAAGGATTTTGTGCCTTTGTTGAAAGTAAAATATGGTTATCCTCCTTCACCTGTGTTACTCCCTCACTAGTAGCATGGAGGATTAGATTAGACTAATGGAGGATAAGAGAAATGATAATGGTAAAAAAGTAGGCAACAAGGAAATGCCACCAATTGTGGGCAGGACTGTCAGGTCTCATCAAATTGTATTTGGCCTGGGACTGGTATTTATTAATATAGAATCAAAGATAAATACAATATCATTATGTGTAATTTAATTCTAATGTTAATACAGAAACGTTTTCATGACATATCTCAATTTTGTATTTTGGAGTGTTTTTTCTTTATTTTCCAACTAAGATAATAGTGAACCATTTCCAGGAAACATTTGGCCTCCCAACCACCAAAAATGTACCAGTTCTTGATGTAAAAGATGAACAGATATTTCCAAGTATCATGTGCTATTTTTGTGAAGAGCTTCTCCTTAACCTTTGATAGAATTCTTGAAGTGACAAGAACTAGACCAAAGCATAAATGGAAGATTCCAGCTAAATCTAGCGTTAACAGTATATGAAATCTGCTCTGTGGACTCTGAAGTGATAACAACAATCCCCACTACATCATTCAGTCAAGCTCTTCTGTTCTAGAGCAGAGATCCCCAACACCCGGCCATTCGGAACTGGGCCATGGAAGTGGCAGGCGAGCATACATCGGGCAAGCGCATGCTTGCATGCTTCATTTTCCTGAGTGGCGGGCATACCCACCCTTCATACAAATGGAATGTGCATGCTTGCCCACCACTTGCGCAGAACCATCCACTCTTCCCCCCCTCCACTGGTCCACAAATCTGAAAAGGTTGGGGAACTCTGTTCTAGAGCAAAGGAAGAGCTATCTGTCAGCTCTCACCATATGCTTGCTTGTACTTCACTGCTATGTGGTGACAGCCTGCCAGGAACTGTGGGGAGGGGGAATGAGGGGAGGTGAATGCTTTGGGAAACAAAAAGTAATTGCTGTATCTGTTCAAGATGCGGCCTCACAGTCACCCAGCTGGAAGAAGGGGACCACATACCAAACTGAGCTTGGACTGATCATTATGAAAACATCCTGCCTGAACCTGATTGGTTATACTGGAGTGGGCAATGAAATAGAGTTAAGGGTGGGAAAAGTAGAATTTAGGGATATTGGTACATGATTCTCAGTTCTGGCTTTGCATTATTGCAATACACTTGATCTCTAATGAACTATTTCTTTCTCAACAAATAAAGCCAAGGGTCATTTTTATTTAGAGGTTTAAATTGTGGCAGGTCTGGCACTATCTGATTTTACTAACTGCAAAATATTTGGTGAATTTGGAAGGAGGGGGATTAAACTGATTCACATTTAAGTTCACTGGATGTTGAAATTGAGGTAACTCATTACAAACTAATCTTCAGTGTAACACTTTTTTAAAAAGTCTGTTTGAAAAGAAAAATTACGTTTTTTGCAATGTCAGCCTTTTCCTTGAATAGATCCCCATCAACATCAAAGAAGTCCACAGAAGATTTGGCTATTTAAAAATAAGACACAAAGAGTTCACTTTAGGATCAGATTTATCAGCAACAGAAAAAGTCAGTTAACAAAACAGTAATACTGATAAACCACTTATACATATATAGATAAAAATAATTAAGGGATCTCACATATAATTAAAATACTTTATTGTATACTATATTTTAATGAATACTTCCATATTATTAAAAATATAAATTAAATGTAATATGCAATAAAGTTTTATTAATGTGACAGAAGACTACAGAAAAATAGCTTATATTTCACTATCAAGAGCACTGTCACAAACTAAGATACATTACCTAAAGAGATTCTAAGCTCTTTTAATTATGATAAAGGAGAAGGAGTTAAAAAGTTTAAGATTTAGAAACTTACCTACAACACTACTACTCTTATTGGATTCAAAGTTGTTATCTTCCTCAAATAGACCAGGAGCTTCATATAGCTTGGGAGATTTATCTGTGATTGATTCTGTCAACTTTTTATTCTCTTTCTCCAGTAGAACTGAAGGACTAAATACATCATTTATACCTATGAACAGAGTTTAAAAATAATCATCTGATATCTAGAGCTGAAGTTCTATAAATTGTTTTACTTAAAAAAAATTCAAAATCATGGAGCAAATAAAGCATTTGCCTTATAAATCATTAGGCATAAAATTTGCTATACAACTTCCAAATACACAGATACTTCACTTCTTGTCAATGGACAGTACCATTTTAAGTATAAGTAATCTTATTGTTTAACAATATTTCTAGGAAGGTTTTTCAAATATTGGTTTCTAAAGCAAAACAGTTCTGCCAAAAGTAGCAACAACAAAACTTTAAAATGTTTATTTAGATCTATAGTGCTGTTAAATCAAGATAATTTTAATCTCTCTGTTGGCCAGCAGGAAGAATTTAGAGTGACAAAACATTATTTTAAATCCAAAACAGGTATTCTTCTCCAAGTATAAATAACAATTCCTGGCAAAGTGTTTTCAGTGTGCTTCATATTCCCTTATTACCTAATATGCAATAACATTTTGCTAGTCTATGAGACACTGTTGAAAGCGACCTCCTTTAAACCATTAATTTAAAATAGGAATCTTAAGATTCAAATTGGGGATGTATATCTATGCTGCTTAGCCTTTATACCAGGGGTTCTCAACCTTGGCAACTTAAGACTTGTGGACTTCAATTCCCAGAAGCTGGCTGAGGAATTCTGGGAGTTGAAGTCCACAAGTCTTAAAGTTGCCAAGGTTGAGAACCCCTGCTTTATACTGTATCAACCATGATGCAAAAGATGTACATGATGATTGGCTTCTTCATTCCTCCCCTCTGCCCATTTTCTGCCTTATTGTTATAACAGAACAGCAGAATAATAGCGTTGGAAGGGACCTAGGAATCCAACATCCTGCTCAGGCAGGAAACCCTATATCAGTGGTTCTCAACCTTTCTAATGTGTGACCCCATAATACAGTTCCCCATGTTGTGGTGACCCCCAAGTGGGTGTGGCCACCAATAAGAGGGAGTAGGACAGCTAGGGAAAAGGGAAAAAAATGGCGGGCAGTGTGGTTTGGTGACCCCTGTGAAATGGTCATTTGACCCCAAATGGGGTCCTGACCCACAGGTTGAGAACCACTGCCCTATACCATTTCAGTCAAATGGTTGTCCAATCTCTTCTTTAAAAGCCTCCAGTATTGGAGCATCCACAACTTCTGGAGGCAAGTTGTTCTATTGATTAATTGTCTATCTATCAGATGTCTGTCAGATGTGCTTGCTTGCAAGCAGATGTCTCAATGTTTTGTATTCTGACATCACTGAAAATTTATTCTGTTAATTAATATGAATGACTATTGGGAGCAAAACTGCAGAATATGAAAAAAGCAAATAGACTATATAAAAAGTACTAGAATATAGATTAATCTCCAAACAGAAAGAATAGAAAATGCACAGTAGGAAAGTTGACGTAGAAACTATTTGGAGGAGAGCCATGAGAATTATACTACAAAATGACACAAAAGAGTTACAATAATGATTGCATCAAATGAGAGCAAGACAAAGATGCCATATAATATAAATAGAGAAAAAAGGACAGCTGCTGAGAAGAAGAAAAAGGTTCAGATTCAAGGTAATCAAGGTAATTCAAGGTAATCCTTGAATTATGAATGTTCAGTGATGTTTGAAATTTCAATGGCATTGAATGGATTTATGATTAGTCTTCAAATTTCTGATCATTGCAGTGCCCCCTCAGTCACATGAACAAAATTTGGGAACTTGGCAACCAGCTCGCACTTATGCCTGGTTGCAGCATCCCACTGTCCCAGATCCCTCTACGAGGGAAATGAGTGATTCCAAAATATGATAGATATAGATACAATGGTTAGAATGCAGTATTGCAGGCCAATTCTGCCCTCTGCCAGGAATTCGATCCTGACTGGCTCAAGGTTGACCCATCCTTCCATCCTTCTGAGGTCAGTAAAATGAAGACCCAGATTATTGTTGGGGGGGGGATATGCTGATGTTGTAAACCACTCAGAGTGCTATAAAGCATTGTGGTGTATAAATCTAAGTGCTATTGCTAATAGCTGTTCAGTAGAGGTCGCCGATCAAAATCATCTATCTACTTAAGCCATCATTTGTTTAAACACAGTTTACTGAAAACAAAACTGGCTTGGTTCATACATGAAAACTAAAAATAAGAAAACTTTATTTTTAGTATGATGTGTAAAGCTGAATCTACAGTATATACAGAAATGCAAGTGCCACTTGTTTAGATCAACTAAAGCATCAAGGATAGCTTGCTTCTGTAATGAAGCTAAATGATTGGAAGATTCCATTCTACAGACATATTTACGGATTAGTGCAGTTTAAAGTCAATTAAGTAAACTTAAAGATAAAAAAAATGCAGATCATTGGTCAATTTTTTATTATCCATACCTGGAAAGAGAGAAACTGCTCCAGGAGGAACTTTCTTTACTGCTTTTAATGAGGGTTCTAAAAAGCATAGAAAAATGGATCAAATTGAAACTTTCCTAAAGTCAACTTCTTTTTCTATAACTATGCCTTTAGGTATGTATTTGCCTTATTTCTGACTGTTCATGGGCACAGAGATGACGTCTTACACTGTTACAGGTGTGACACTTTACAGTATTACAATTGTAAGATGATGTGTCTTACAACTGTGTCTGCTGGGAGTCCTTTTACCCGAGGACATTGATGAAGTGGATATGGTGCTGTCTAATATGATTCCTATCATCGTGGGTAGATGGAATATAAGGGCTGAGGAAATAGTGAAGTCTCACTGTGTAAAGCCTAAGGAAGGTGACCCTCATGGAGACATGGAAGCTCTGTTACCAATGCAACAGGTGCCAATGAAGTGTGTTGAAGATAAAGGTTTACATCTAATCCATGAGAATAAATGAGAATCAATAAAGGCTCTTTGGGGGAGGGTAACTACATTTTATAGTTACACTTGAAAAGTAAAGCTGCATTCTACAGTACTTTTTACTAAACTGGAGGGGGGCTTAAATATATTCTCATCTAGGATCAGATCATATTTGTATCAATATACTTTCAAAGGAACTTTTTAAAAAGACCATCTTTCCCAAATGAACTGCAGAATTTTCTTGTGTTAATCTGTTAAATCTTCAAGTTTTATAAAAAATTCTTACCATCATTTATTGGTATTCGTGTTTCTTTTTCCTTTGAATCTTCCTCTTTTGGCAATTCAGCAAAAAGATCCTTCTGGTTGAAAATAGAATAATATACCTCGTAACAAAATGTGTTTTATATTCAGAAAACAGAATAATAGGCCATCAAATACTGCAAAAACCACTCAAAATTATTTTATACATAATTTCACATATAAAAAAATTTCAGTTTCTGACTACTTATTAGGCATGCACATATAACAAGAATCTAGAGCTCATAATGAAAAGTAGTTTATAATGTGAAAGAAGCAGTTAACTTTCAATTTCATCAAACTTTGGTGTGAGATCCCTCTAGAATCAAGACACTATAAAATATAAATATATGTATAATCTAGACAAAAATTGTGTTCACAAAGCCACATTTTTTAAAAAAGTCATGGTTATTAAGCAAGTCATAACAGCCTAGTTTGCACACAAATAGCACATTGTGCCTTATCATTACAGTTACTTCTTGATTTGTGACCTTTCATTTAGCAACTATTTGAAGTTATGATGGCTCTGAAAAAAGCAACTGATGACTAGTCCTCACCTTGAAAATCTGAACTTTTCAGCATTTTTGATGTTCAAAAACAATCATGCTTGCTAGCTTTCTACCTACAAAGCTGGCAAACACAATGTTTCTGAGCAGTAGAAAAGCTCTTTCTATGCACTTCGCTAGTCCACTAATTTTGTAACTTTATCAAAGGAGGATATAAGTTTTGTCTGGCATGACCTGTTTTTAACAAACCATGCTGACTTCTAGTAAACATTTTTTCACAGGTACTGATGTCAAGCTGATGGGTCTACAATATCCTGGATCCATCCCCCCCCCCCTTTTTGTAGATTGGTACTACATCGGGTCTTTTCCAGTCCTTTGCTAGTTCCCCTGTGATACAGGATTTTTGAAAGATTACATTCAGTGGCTCTGAGATTACATCTGTCACTCCTTCAGAATTCTGGGATGCAAACCATTTGGCCCAGGTGATTTGTACTTGTCCAGGGAGAATTCTCTTACTATTTCCTTGCCTATTTTGACTTGTGCACCTGTTCTATCTGCCTCGGAACAGATAGTCAATGCCAATGATTGTAATCCAAGATCTGAAGAATGAGACGGGTATTTGGTTCTCTTTTAAATATAGTCAAAATGTGGACCAGACATCTCTCAGGTGGGTTAATATTCGGAAGGGAAGTGCTATAAGAACACATATACTGTAAGAGGATCTCTCAGATTTCCCTTCCACTTTACTGGAAATAATTTTCATATTTCTTGACTTATGTTACTTTGATTCTTCTTGCTGCCTTGCTCTGCAAATAGATTTTGCTTACAGTACACAGATTAGATGATATTTTTTTCCTGCCTTTTTTTAAAAAAAACTTATTTGGTCAAGATGGAAAACATTTCTAATACTCCTGCCTCTTATTTCTCCCACAACAACAGCCTTGTAAGATGGGTTGGGCTGAGAGAGAGGGACTGGTCATCTACTTAGCTTTTATGCCTAAAGGAGGCTCATAATTCATGGTTTCCTGCTTTTGAGGCCAGCACATTTGGCACTACACCAAACTGACTTGCCTAGATCTTGTGGACCTCATTAGCCCTAAGCCCTTGGGACTTCAGGAATAACAGGCCTGCTCTCTTTAGTTGAACAATCAGATTTGGTAAAACTGTCTAACTATAAGTTATAGGCAAAACATTTTTTCTGCATACCATCCTCTACCTAATTCATACTCCTTCAATTATACGTGATTTATAACCACGGTTATAACCCAGTGAGAAACATGTTAATTCTTTCCTGCTTAACTTTGTTCAGAACAGGATTGTAATGTTCTGAGGGATAGAAGATCCAACCTATGGAAACCAAATCTTTAAAAAAAAGACTATAAAACAATCAAATGAAGTACAGATGGCAGAGGTGCCATCAAGCCTTTTTGCCTAGTTCTCAGGACATACAACTATTTAGATGTGAAGTAGGAAAAAGGGGCCTTAGAGGGTATAAATGTGCTCCTCTCAACCTCTCTTGAAAGAAGCCATGTCCCTTTCCAGGCTTACATGTTAGCTATACGATTCCGGGAAAATAATGTGCCTGAATCAAATAGGCATCAAAGAAGACAAATTAGACTGCAGTGATTGTGTTTTCATCCTACCACAGTAATTTATCCTATACTCTTTTGGGGGGCATGGATGCATTTGCCTCTTCATGGAGATACATGCACCTAGGTTCAAAGTAGCTTTCTGCCTGGTATCCATATAGCCGCATGCCTCTAGCTAGTTCCCTAAAGGAATATACAAACCACATATTAACCTCATCATCGAAGAGTCCTGTCCCACCACTGAAGAGTCCAGCTTTAGAACCAAATGGTGAGAAATCTTCATCTGTCAGCTTGGGAGGTTTAAAGATATCCTCATCTAGAATAAAATAATGTTTTCATCAAGGGAGCTAAAAAAAGGCAGTTACGAAGTTCTCAGATAGATAGTAAGATAGCATGATTAGGAACAAACTTTCCCTACTGAAGTTTCCCATAGACTACACCTACTACCCATTCCACAGAAGATTTAGAGCACAGGAGCCAAAGAAGCTGTGTTTATACAATCTCCTGGATAATTTGGGGGGATTAAAAATTCAAATTTCTTTCTATCCAATTAATTGAGAAAGCAAGAATGTCAAGATATTTTGTTATTTTTCAGCTTCTAGTAGTTTCCATATATAGCACTTAAAAATGCACTGAAAAGAAGTTTCTATCAGAGAAAAGACCTTAAAGTCAACAAAATAATTAAAATATACGATCACAAAAGGCATGCAACTTCACACAACTTTTTCATATGATCTGACTTTTTCTGAATATAAGTAATAAAATGAATGCACAATATTTCCAAGGCACAATACCATTCAACAGTAAGCACATTCAGAACCTTAGAAAATGGCTGACTTGGGATTTACTTTTATTCTGCATTTATAAGTTTTATAACTCAAGGTGGTGAACATATCTAAAGCATCCTTCATCCTCCTAATGTTATGGTTCCAGCTAATGAAACATTTCAAAGAACTTCCAGGCATTTATTTTCCTAAAAGTCTTTTATTGTTACAAAATGTCGGCACAGGCACAACAGAGGGATGCTAGGATCTAAGTTCTCTTCCTCTGAGCAGTTAAATTATCAGCATGTTCCCTCCCTAAATTAGACTTCATATATCACATTATCCAATTAGTGTGAAGGTCATAGGTTTTCTTCCTCTTTCTTTCCCGGGCTTTACCCCCACCTCCCTTCTGCTCTGTATTAACCCCATAAATACCAGACAGTTCTGCATATTGTCAAAAGCAAGAATATACAATATTTGCAGCGTTGACACCTAAATGAGATTGCTCTCATGTCTTCTCTTCTCATAGGAAATGCAGCTCTTAAAGACAACCCACCCCCCACTCCCCAACTTACCATCTGAGTTAACATTAACATCTTCCTTAATAGGGACTGTAGTCTTATTTTTCGTATCTGTTCAGGAAGAAAATATTTATGATCATTTTTCTTCTTCACAACTGCATTACATATTAAGCATTTAAAAGTGCAATGAACAGAAAAGTTGTCATCTGCCTGACTTTTCATTTTTTCCTATAGATTTAAGCTCTCTTTTTTCCACTGGCTTTGCCCTTTAATTATGATTGATAGCTTTCAGTCTTCCTAGTGCCAGGCAATACATGCCAAACTGCAGTTTTATGGCTTTTCATGGCCAGCCATTACCCTAATGGGCTATGATCTCACACACACTAGCTGACCTTAAAATGGGCCGCTGGCTTACAGCTGGAAAGCAGACTTATCAATTCTACCTAGAAACATTTTTGTGGCCTACTCGGCACACCTTCTTGAATTAACTAGAATACCTTAGACACACAATGATTCCAAAATTTGGAATGGATTTATCCCTGGCTAGATTTAATGTCCCCCCAACAGCTGTTACTGAAAAGATATACTGAAAGATCCTTTCTGAAAAGAGACTGAGTCCATGTGGTAGAGGAGTAACTGAAATGATGGAACATGCTATTTTGTAGTTCCCATTTTGCAGATATTTGTCAGGAATCGTCATTCTTTACTAAATATCCTGACCATTCTGACTTGTTTTATCTTGTTATTATCAGATCAATCCGATTTTATTGACCGCAGCTAAGTGGTCAGTCCCAAATATCTGGAGAACAGGTTGGAAGAGGTCTTGCCAGATTATCATTTTCTTTTTTCCTCCAGAGTCCAACTAATCTACAATTAAGTAATAAAATAACCTTTGCTGAATCTCTGTCAGGAAAAAAAAAGTATTTCTTTTGAGCTTGGATGTATTGGATATACTTTTAACAAAAAATTACATTTAACTTTAAACAAAGATTAGTTTTCATAACAGAAATGGTTTATTTAAATAAGTAATTTCTTGATCTAGTATATATTATAAAGTATAGTATGTATTATAGTATATATTTAAATAATTCTCTTTCATACCAGTGAATATCTTCCTTTGAGCATTAATGAAAATACATAAAAAAGCTAGATTGTAGTATAACAATTTACTGGAAATAAAGATTGTTTTAAAAATATTATTAGAATAACATTTTCTGTCATACTTTATGAAGCAAAAGAAAAAAAGATACGTGGAATTGCTTACGTAATTGTTCTTCCTGTTCTTTACTTAGCTCTTCCCTTTTGATTCGAGCTGCAAGCTCATCAGTAAACGACGTGGGTCTTTTCTTTTGAGTTCCAAACAGGGAAGTAGAAATGGGTTGGAGGGAGATGAGACACGCTGTTATTTTTTTTAAAGAAGTTTCTTCATAAATTACTTCAAGCCAGACATATTATAGGCTAGGAAATGTTAGAGGGGAAAACACGACTTTCAAACTAATAGGAGCACATGGAAGGAATTGTGAGATGGGTCCAGGATGCAGTATTCCAAGTATGGCCTTACCAAAGTTTTATAAAGCGGTACTAACACTTCACGTGATCTTGACATTATCCCTCTGTTAATACAGCCTAGGATTGCATTGGCATTTTTTGGTGGCTGAAGCACACTGCTGGCTTATATTTAAGTGGTTGTCTACTAGGACTCCTAGATCCCTCTTGCAATTACTGTTGTTTAGCCAGGTTCCACCTATTCTATACCTGTACATTTGGTTTTTCTTGCCTAAGTCTAAAGTCTTAACATTTTTCAAAATTGAATTTCATTTTGTTAGATAGGGCCCAGTGTTCAAGACTTTCGAGATCTTTCTGGATGTTGAGTCTATCTTCTGGGGTGTTGGCTATTCCTGCCAGCTTGTCGTCTACAAATTTGATGAGTTTCCCCTCTATTCCTTCATCTAAATCATTTATGAAGATATTGAAAAACACTGGGCCTTGGGGTACAACACTGCTTCCTTCCTTCCATGTAGATATAGTTCCATTAAGGACTATATGTTGAGTGTGGTTTGTCAGCCAGTTACAAATCCATCTGGTGGTGATGCGGTCTATCTCACATTTTTCTACCTTACTAAGAAGAAGGTTGTGGTCTACTTTGTCAAATGCTTTACTGAACTCCAAATATACTATGTCCACAGCATTTCTCTGGTCCACTAATTTAGTCACTTTGTCAAAGCATAACATTTGTTTGGCATGATCTTTGTTTTTGACAGTTGGCTTTTAGTTATAACTTTGCTTGCTTCTAGGTGTTCGCAGATCTGTTGCTTGGTTATCTTTTCCAGGATCTTCTCAAGTACTGATGTTAGGCTGATTGGTCTGTAGTTTCCTCCATCCATTTCCCCTTTTTTGAAGATGAGAACCACATCAACTCTTTTCCAGTCCTCTGGTAATTCCATGGTGCTCCAGGATCTTTGAAAGATATAGTTCAATGGTTCAGAGATCACATCTGCCAGCTCCTTCAAACCTCTGGGATATAATTCTTCTGGTCCTGGTGATTTTAACTTGTCTAGGGTGGTCAGGTGTTCTTTTAACATTCTCTTGTGTATTTTCATTTGTAATCCTAGTCTGTTTTTATGGTTCTGTTTTTGGTAGGCTGGGCTATTTTTTCCTTTTGAGTGAAGACAGATGCAAAGAATGAATTAAGCAGCTCTGCTTTCTCCTACTGCCCGTCACTTCCTTGTCATCTCCTCTCCTTAGTGGACCAATTGTTTCCTTGACTTTTTTCTTGTTTTTTTACATGCTGGAAGATATTTTTTAATTATTTTTTACATTTGTTTCAAGTCTTAATTGATTCCGAACCTTTCCTAACTTCATATTTGCAGATTTGGGCTATATGCTGGTATTTGCTTTATGTGTCCGTCTTTCCATTTTTTATACTTATCCTCTTTGTTTTTCAGTTTATCAGAGAGTTCTTTATGCATGCTAGTTTCTTCTTGGATTTCTTGTTCTTTTCCAGTGGCACTGTGGTGGAATGGGCTTTTATAATCACATTTTTCAGTTTCTCAAGCTTCTTGAGTTGTTTTCTCCTTTAAGATTTTCATCCATGGAATCCTTCCCAAGCTCTCTCTATGTTTGTTGAAATCAGCTGTTTTAAATTCTAAGACACTAGTTTGATTTTGTTTTATTGCTTGTTTCTGCATTATATTGAATTCCAATATAATATGATCACTCTCCCCCAAAATTCCTGCAATTTCAACCTCCTCTATCATTTCATCTTTGTTAATAAGAATTAAGTCCAGTATAACTGACCTTCTAGTTCCCTTCCTAAAGAGAGACACTACTTACAGTCATTCATGTACTAATCATCTCCTGCTTGCATTCTGTGGTTCTGCCCCTGAAAATGTGGAAGTTCAGCTGGTCTAGAATATAGTAGATACATGCAGTATTAAGCGTACCCAGTACATGTAACATTGTTTTGTGAACTTACTGGCTTCTAGTAAACTTCTGGATACAATTCAATTTCTGGTTGTCATCTTTAAAACGTTATATGGCATCAGCCCTAGTTGCTTGTAATACCCAGCACTTTCTGTTTGTCTGAAGAGATCCAGCAGTTCTTCAGGTTCTGTGAAGTCATGCCACCTGGTATTCTAAGTAGAGCACCTTCTTTGTCATTGTACCTGCATTATGGATAGCCTCCTTTGAAATTCAGGTAGCCCCAATCTTGCTGGCCTTCTGGAAGGCCATGAAGACTTGGCTTTTCCCAAGGACTGGAGATGCTAATGGACCCTAGTATAAGTATATGAATCATATTGGTAAGGCATTTTCACAGAGGACCAGACTTTATTCTTTTAACTGATTTGTGTATTATGTTTTATGTTTTGTTTTTCTGCTCTGCCCAGGACAGTTTTGATACCAACGGCACAAATATGGAAAAATGTAATGAACTAGCTCTTTGCCTATCCCTGTACTCATGCTGACCCTCAAATAAGCAATGTATTTTTTGTATTATGCTTTGCTAAGAAGATTATACAACATAATGGTCATAGGAGAAAGAAAGAACAGCAGGTGTAGAATTGGCAAAAGGAGGAAATCCTAAAATATCTGGGGTATTACCAAAGTTGGTACAATATAATACTACTGGAGCAAGTATTTTATAAACAACCATTTCACTCATCACAGGAATGCTTTGTATTTTTCAGTGCTATAATCTATGCTTTAAGTATTTTACTGATATGCTTTATAAACACTTTCTCATAAAACTGGTGATGCTGTTGAGCAGCAATTTCTTACCAATGTTGTATTTTCTTCTAGGTCACCCTCTTCCTCTTTTTCATCATCACCAAAAAGATCTTCATCTTCATCACTCATTAGTACTGTTCTCTGGAAAAAAATAAATAATGTATGTTTCCCTGCAATTGAGAAAAAAATTTCCTACAGTGAAATAGCCAGCTTTTGACTTAATGTCTTCCTTTGTTTGTGAAAGAATATCCAGAACATATTGCTTTGCCTTCTTATTGAATGCTTCTGCTTATTATCCCGAAAGTCTCTTCAAAACACCGTCAGCAATAATGCTTAGAATCAAATTCTTATTTCATCACTAAGCTACATGGATTCTATTTTCTATCTCTAGTAAAAATGCAAATGATAATATCAAAGTCAGGAAGTTGCAAAGAACAGATAAAAAAATGGATAAAACTGCTGGAAGGTTGCATTGAGGCAGAAAAATAACGGCAAAAAGTATTGAGATAACAAGCATTCCATCTCGAAAAATGATGCTAAAAGAGGTGGACATACATTTCCAAACTTCAAATTAGATTATCAAACAAACTGCCTATCATAACAGAAAGGATATAATTTCCAAATGGCAGACCATCAATTATAGAAGGAGCTGGCGTGGCTATTGGACTTCATAGGTACTTATGATACAAAGGAAATTAAGCAAGCAAAGTAAATCTTTCTGTAGTGTTCTGAACCGGAAGGAAAAGCCCACAAGCTAAAGCAGCTAAAGCAGAAATGTACAGCAAAGCTGGATCCTAAAGGGATTCGGGTAGGCAACAAAGAGTTTGGAAGCCTTTGGAAAGCTCTTTTCTGCCTTTATGACTCCCTTTAAGACCCAGCTCCTGCCATGGTTGTTTGCTGCACGTTTGTGCCTTGGCTACTTATACTTGTGAGCTTTTTCTTCAGATCCTCGAGGCAAAAAGCTACAGAAAAATTTGCTTTGCTTCCTTGCTTCCTTTTCTCTTACTCTCCAGTCTGGAGTCAAAGCAAGTCATTTACAGCTTTTGTCACCCGCTTTCTAGGTATGCAGCAAATGAGGCTTTTAAAAGAGATTGGAGGGCAGAGGCGGAGAGTTTAGTTTTAGCACCCAAATGGGGGCTGGTGGATAAGAAAGATCAACAAGTCTATCCCTCCCAGCTTTTTTTGTTAACTGAAGAAATGTGACTTTCTGGGGGAAGGAGAAGGTTAAAATAAGGGCAAAGTTTTGAGTAGCTTGTCCTGAAGCTGCCACCTCCTCAAAGACTAACAAAGCCAGGAGAGGGTTTGTAATCCCCCAATGGCCAGCTGATCAGGGCAGAAAGTTCTAAAAGTAGCTGCCATTTCTGCAAGAAATTGTCAGAGGGCTGAAAATGGCTGCTACTTCCCAGGAAGCATAGGGAGTAGGCCTCGCCAGGGCAGAATGGGAGGGGAGGGGGGCGTGCTGCAGCCACTGTAACTTTGAAACAGGGTTGTAATTTGGGGGCATCTGTCGTAACTTTGAAGTGACCTGTCATACCTTGAAGACTACCTGTAATAACTTTTCACCTTCTTATAAAGTTACAAATCAAAAAAATCTTGTCACCACAACTTAACTTTTATCTACATATAATCCAGAAATTCTCAGCTTTTTAGTCCTAGTTCAACTAAATGTCCATTGGACATTCAGCCAAATTTAAGAAGCACGTTACACAGCAAAGCAGACTTAGACATTTTGAATATGGCTTCAGGGAAAGAATGGAGAGACAACAGTAACGGATTAAAAACAACTGTTGAAATGACCTCAGCAGACCATAATTTTCAATCTGGCTGCCTAGAAATAAAACAGTCTGGAGACAGATTGAGGTGGGAAAAAAGAAATGCACCTTACACTTATCTCCTCTATCCAGTACGGGGTACAGGACCACTTAAGATAGATTCTTACACTTAAATAAGGGAGGAAACCTTGTTTTTGTCACCAGCATCTTATCAATATTTTCTCAACCTAATGGTAATTTGGAGAGAACCGAAACCTGACAAAATGCATTTCTTACCTGTTTCTGATCTTCATCACTTATAGTCCCAAATTCTTCCAGTTCCTGAAAAGTAAAAAAAAAAGCAAAGAAAAGTGGCACTCAACTTGACAGCATGTGTCAACACTGTCTTGGACTTCTATGCAACAGCTCTTTAGATGGCAATTCTTCTGAAACACTATCTGAATTGTTTTCATATATGCTAGGGATAATAAGTACTTAATTTATATTTAATTTAATTAAAAATATTCTCACCAATAGAGTAAACTGATAAACATCTAAACTTCCCAGAACCCTAGTAGTTTATATTTAGAAGCTGTTCTAAAATTCATCCAGAGGTCATAAGTCTACTCACCTCTTCTTCTTTTCCTTCACTGTCTATTAGGCTTCCATGGTCACCATCCACCGAACCTTTTGTTCCATAGATGAAGGGAAAAGACAAGATTTGTGTGTTGTTTCTTTAACTGGTGATACAGAGAGTCCTCAACTTTACAGCCACAATTGAAACCAACACTTCTGTTGCTCAGCGAGACAGTTGAGTTTTGCCCCATTTTAAAGTCTCTCTTGCCATAATTTTAAGTGAATCACTGTCAGTTGTTATGCTAGTAACACGGTTCTTAAGTGAATCTAGTTTCTCCATCGACTTGCTGGTCAGGTCACAAAAGGTGGCTGCAAAACCCCGGGACACTGCAACTGTCATAAATACATGCCAGTTGCAAAGCGTCCAACTTTTGATCACGTGATTATGGGGATATTACAATGGTCATGAAGTATGAAAAACAGTCGTAACTCACTTTTTTTCAATGTCACTGTAACTTTGAACAGTTACTAAATGAATGGTTGCAAGTCAGAGACTACCTATATCCCAAATGCCTTTCTCTATTTGAGGAATTTAGTTATTTTTTATTTACTTGTGTCTTGCCTTTATTATCAGATATGTTTATTTTTATTTCTGGAAATTATAACTCCCCCACATTCTATATCTGGGGTCTTCAAACTTGGCCCTTTTATGACTTGCAGATTTCAACTCCCAGAATTCCTCAGCCAGGCACGCTGGACTTATTACTAATTATTACTAATTCTTTCACCTACCTTCACTGGAAGGATCACCAAGCCCAACATCATCTTGTTCCATAAACAGCTGGGAGCCAATTAAGTATGGCAAAGGTCGATCAACATAAAGGTCCTGTAAAAAAATTAAATTTAAAACACTTTTAAAAGATTAAACTTCAAAATATAACAATCTGCACAACTGTACTCTTTGATGGCTAATCACAGGACAATAAAATTGGAGAAAAATAGTTTGAAACTTACCCCCCCCCATCTACCTTTATAAATAGTTCATTTAATAGTGTTAGGAATTGGACGGAAGGGAGCCTATGGGTTGTTCTTTTGGGGAACTGTACAGACTACAAACAAAAAGGGATGCTATGTCTGCTACAAGGGAGGAGTTTAACACTGCCAAAAAAATATCCCAAATTGTGATCATGTGACTGTGGAGGCAGGACAATAGTTTGAATTTAGGTCACAACAGTTTTTGGGAGGCCATTGTTAAGTAAATGGTAATAAGTTGAGGACTACCTATAGTTTAGCTCTTACAAGCAAAGAAAGTATGATTTTCCGAACAACCCTGAGAGGTAGTTTTCATTAATTTATAAAAATGGGAGGGAGTAGTCTACAAATACAATTGTTGGAAAACAAACAAAGGAAAGCGGACCAGGGACATACTAGCAAAGTACCATATGAGCATACAGTTTTATTAATGATTGTGCCTACCTGAGTAATACATTAACAAATTGATCTGCACTGATTGAATAAGGTAACTTGGTTTAAATACATCACAGATTTAGAGTCCCTCTCTGAGGGAGATGGATGGTTCAAAAATGTGAATACATAAATGAAATTAAATTGTCGCAGAATGAAGATGGAGTGTAATCCCATTCTATTTTTTTAAATAAGATCCAAGAGTATATAAACCTTTCTGACCAACTGATACAAGCCAGTTTAAGCAGGAGTCTCCTCATGTTGCTTCAATGTATCAAGAGATCATGATTAGCCCGAGGTCATTAAATAGCTTTTACTACTGAGTAAGTCAAGCCAGTGAAACTGAAGTGACCAGAAATACCAAGTTCCATTACCTTAGGCTCCAGTATTAGTTCCAGCCTTTCATTGGTTTCTTCTTCAGAGTCTGAGTTCCCTGCTTTGATGTCCAGTTGTTCAAAGGCACTGTCTAATACCTGCAGCCCAAAATTGATGGCTTCCTGAATCTTGGGAATCAAATCAGCTTCTTTCTGTTCACGGGTTTTCTCCTACAAAATCAAAATATACAGATCCCATATTTTTCACATACAGTGGAGGGAGTTATAGTTTTCGGTCATCACTGTGAAATTACTTGCAATAAAACTTATTTACAAAATATGGAGGTGAGATGATTAACTTCACAAAACTCAATAAATCTTAACATAAATGTTACAAATTAAGACACAAAATCAAATTCCTAACTAGCTTGTTAGAAAAGATAGGGAAATGAGGGTAGAATATAGTCCTCGATTTACAACCATTCATTTAGTGACTATTCAAAGTTACAAGGGCACCAAAATAAGTGACGGTTATGACTGTTATTCACATGACCACTGCAGCATCCCCATAGTCACATGATCAAAATTCAGTCGCTGGCAACCAGCATGTATTTATGACAGTTGCAGTGTCCCAGTCTTCAATCCACCACCTAAAGTTTACTATTCCCCAAAGGCAAATAGGTTAGTCCCCTAACACTTAACTAGCTACCCCGTTAAATTCAGAAGCTGGAAATAAAAGTAAGTTTTGTAGCCTCTCTGCTAAAAAGAATTATCCAGCTAACTAGTATTTAATTAATACTACCTCTACAAAGATGTGAAAAGATTGAGCCGATAGGCAAATCTCTCCCCCCTCCTAGAAGCTCTCTGGATTTTCATATCTCGATAAGGCCTCCTATTTTAAGACAGCAGTTTAATAACTCTTGTACCATCACATACTTTCCAGGGAGCGCCTCGCCAGTCTTCTACTTCCTATTCCCAGGAAAGGAACAGGAAGAGATAGGACTCACACAACCCATCCTATTTTTCTGGTGATTAAAAAGTCAAAATACAAAACAAGAAAATGCTACGTTCTGGCTCTATAGCATAAAGAAACACAATTAGAGAATTCACTCCTTTTTCCTTTCCTTGGTAGACAAACCAATCTAATAAACAAAAAAATATTAAAAGAAAATGTAAAATATAAAATCTCTTTTTAATTTTAAATTAAAAAACACAAACGTTCAGTGTACGAGAAGACAACTTGCAAAACTGTTCAAATGATTGGTAACTTAAATAAACAAAAAAAAAATCCTGAAAAAATTCTACTCAATGATCTGAGTAGACTACAAAATTACAGTGTATATACACTCTGCCCAGAATATTATAGATCACAAGGTAAAAGTGCAAAATATTAAAGAGCAAGAATATTCCACAGAATAAAAGGGTGCATCTTTGAGCACATCACAATGTGTAAAATGTTGGAGTTATAAACAATTCCTTAACTTGTGGAGAGAAAATGTAGACTTCAGTACAACACAGAAACTAATGAGGATCCTAGTGCACTTAAATGCATTACCTATTTTTGTAAAAACAGAAACTCTTCAAACAAAGCAGAGGTTGTGGGGAGTGAAGTCACTTTTTTCCAGCCTTGGTCCAGTGACTTTTTTTGATGTTTTGCCCATAGATTAAAACAACCATTTTTCAATCTCCAGAAGAGAGGATTTCTGGTAATCTCACTTTGTGCATGATTCAGCACATACTCCACTCCCTTGAGGATGTCTATATGACTGAACCTGTCTGGCAATTAATGGTGCGTTGCAATCAGCCAGATTGGATTTGCCAGTTTTTCCACCTATCAAGTCCTTCCCAAGGACATGAGATAGGTAGATGTGGACATTTGATATTATTTGTTAAATTTATTTGCCGCCCATCTCACTATGAGGCTACACTAGGCAGCTTGCAACAATAAAAAGGAAGAAATGAAAATAGTGTGAAGTAAGATACAGAACAATAAAATAAACAATGAAAGAGAATACAAGAAATATAACTATATGATTATCAAAAAAGAAATGGACAGGTACAGAGAACAAGGGAGTGGGGCATCTGCCATCAACCCAGCAGCCACCTTCAGCGTGGAACTCCCAATTTAGACCTCAGGTCAACTGGTTTTTATATTATATTTTTATATTTATTTTATAAAATATAATTTATATTTATACTATTTACATTTATATTATATATAAATATTGGTTACATTCACAATGACAAATGGCAACATTCTGATTGAAGTGCGTGCTTCTGCTTGTTTGTATCCTTTCTATCGTTCCCTTATAGCATGGTATACATATTGGATTTTACTCAATGGGACATTATTTCTATATATTAAACTTGCCTGTTCTAATTTGTCTCCTCCTTCCGTTTTGGATATGAGTTCATCCATTTCATCATCATAAACTCTCTATAAATATAAACAAAATAATTTAAACAAATATTTGAACACAAAATTCCTAACTTCATCTTCAAGTGTTTATAAATAAATAATTTTAATTAATATTTAATATGTATTACACATGTTATTCATTTGCCAGAGAAATAGGAGGAAAGTGACATCCTTAAATTTTGAGGAAATCTAGCCCAGGTCTGGCCAGCCCTTTGGGAGGTCCAACCTGCCAATGGTCGGTGACCAAAGATAACTCCTTTATTTCACTCTCCAAATTACTTGTTATAGCCTGTTCACTAACCAGATACAACTAATGATGTGAGGTAAACACTTTTCCTAAAACACCAAGTCACTTTGATCATACTCGAAACCAGTAATGGATAGTGGAGCAAGTCAAGCTTTTATCAGTCCCTAGCTTATGACACACATTGGATGAGATGTATGTAATATTCCTGGCTCTTACTATGAAATCCTGAGCAACCAACTAAGTGAAGTTCATGTTGACAAACTCGTTAGTTTATGTACATCTGAGTTTGAGTGGGATTCATCTGTCATTTCTACTGTGACTCCTCAAAATCCTTCAATCCCACTGCCATGGCCATGTATTTATGCATAAGGGATTACAGCCCAGTATTTTGCTGGGCTGTAATCCCTTACCAGTAGGGTCAAACAAGGTGCCCTGACTCTGAGGCTCTTTGCATTCGTGGATAAACACATGAAGCACGGAGGTGATAGTCTGGCCAGCAGGAGACCATTCAATACAGAAAGAAAATCAGCTATTTATTTTTTTTAAACAGAGCCAGTTTAGTTAGTAGTTAAGGTGCTAGATTAGAAACCGAGTGACTGAGTTCTAGTCTTCTCTCAGGCAGGGAAGCTGACAGATTATTTTGGACCAATCACCCTGTCTCTCAGCCCAACTTCCTCCACAGGTTGTTGTGATGGGGAAAATAGGAGGAGCATTATGTATACTGTCTTGAGTTGCGCAAAATAAAGGTGGGAAATAAACCTAATAAATAAATACTTTTGTCATTCAATATGTTACTACTTGGAAGTCAAGAAGATAAGTTTGTATTTTTTTAAAAATAAAGATTTCTGTCAGGAAATTGAATTTAACATGTATCATTTTCAACAGAAAAACAAGTGGAGTGCTAGAAGTAATATTGATGATGTGTGTTTTTGCACTACTGTGCTGAAGTTCACACCCAATTACTAGAACATGTTCATTTGATTGAATGCATACGCATGTATGAGACAGGTTACACTACTTTCATGGTCAGTGTGCAGGTGTTAGAATTGGTCAGGAAGTCCTTTCATAAGTTCATCTAGCATGATAGTTACACCCTTTCTTAAAACAAGGGGCCATTCAGATGGTCAGTCATGCCCTGGAGTAATGGTCTGTGGGAATAACCTTAGAAGGCAGATGGATAGAGTTCCAATGTGCTGACTGAAAACATCCAATCTGGTATTTTACTTCTCACAATAATAATGCTCCATTAATCATAAACTGGTTTGTTTAAAACTTCAAGTTTTCTATTATTTTGATATGCAGGTATTTTAAATTGTATAAAAAGTTTTGCAATAATTAAAGATGCTTTGTATGATAAATAACTATTTTAAATAAACAAATAACATGTTAAACTGCAACTTCTTTCAGATCACCTTTTATCAGAGCTGAAATCTGACATTAATCTTTCTCTATTTATAACATAATATATATAAAAAAGCAACATACGTTTTCAATGAACTGCATATTTGAAAGCATGAGGAAACCATTGAAGACATTATGTAGGCGGCAATCTATACTTTTAGTTTCATGAATCAGTCTGTCCATCTGCTTCTTTATTTCATGGGTCCTGGAGATTGTTTGCTGGGAGAATTCTTGCAGAAACTGCAAAAGCTGCCAAAAATATGTTTGTATAGAATTTAAATCACACTGTGGATGGAGGGAGGGAGGGAGGAAGAGAGAGAGAGAGATGGAGGGTGGGCAGGGCTGTAAAAGTACTGCCATGTTAAGTCTGAAAAGATATGAAACATCAAACCTATTTTTTTTAAGAAACCTTTGGAAGCATTTCCAGAAAGTTATAACATAAAATGAAGAGGTGAATCAATGACTAATAACGGGGACTCTCTGTAAAATTCCTGCTGTTTTAAGAGAAAACCCTGGTGAGTTAGTATAAAACTTGCAACAATGTTAAGTCCCAAAAATACTTTTTCAGAAAAATATATATTGTGTTTCTTTGATTAATTTATTACCAAAGGTAGGAAAGGCTATGGGTGCTTTCAAACGGAAAAGAGGTACTGCAGAATATGACTGTAAAATTATACAGTTCTAGTTACCAATTGTGTATTATGAATAATAGATGTACGTTTTCATAATTATATCTATGATCACAAATTTCCAACAAACCATTTCAGGTTTTTTTTTTCCTTGCATAAGTGAAAGACAACTCTTTATCACCAAAACTCTTATTTTTGGAGGTATGATTATACTTTCACAATTAAGCACAATACTCTGTAGCCATTTTCCCTATTCATTTTCGGTTGACACAATACTTGAAGAGAAACAGAGTATTTTTTTAAAAAAAAAATCAATTCTATGTGACCCTTTTCAACTGCAGAATTCCATAAATGGTTAATAATTAAAAAACAGGACAGCCACCTGTTTGAAATGATATAGGGTCTCCTGCTTGAGCAGGGGGCTGGACTAGAAGACCTCCAAGGTCCCTTCCAGTTCTATTCTGATTATTATTCTGATTATTAATTCAAACACACATCTGATGTTGTCCTTCGCCTCCGTATGGGAAAAAAAACCCCACTCCACTGATTAAGATTCAGCATAGGCTAAAGAGCTAAATGCATCTGTCAAGCCGCGTCTTACAAATTGGTGGGAGGAGGAGGAGTTGCGTTTCATGGCTAAGTTGCCATTGACAACCACCATAGGAAGCGAATGGCAGCCCAACTGATGGCTCCCGAAGGGAAGAACCGGCTCCTTCCACGGCCCTGAAAGCAGACCTCTGCCTAGGTTCACGGGGCTCCCCGGGGCTCCCCCCCGCCGCCGCCGCCTGTCCTCACCCCAGCGTCGGCCGCCAGGGACCATGACTGGCTCCTGGAGCGAATCTCTTCGAGGGACCAAGCGCGCTCCCAAAGCAGCAGCGCCGCCGCTGCCGCCGCCGCCTTGGTCGCTTCGGCTCCGGAGGAAGCCTCCGTGTCATCGGAGGAGGACGAGGCGGCAGAAGACATCCCGACACTGATCAAGCGCCCTCTCAAAAGCCGCGGCAATGGCGTCCGTCAGCTGACGCCACTCACGTGATCTGCGTCTCGGAAGCTCCCTAAAGCGGTTTCCCTCCCCCCCCCTTCCCCGACGCACCCTAAGAGCTTTCGGCTGGAATCGGATGCGGCGTTCTAGAGGCTTCCGCCAGTCCGCCGGAGCTGGGCATGAAAACTTCAGGACTGGCGGAAGGGCAACGGACGAAGCGAAAACCCGGAACGCCACCAAGCCCCAGTTGGAGGTTGGCCGACGGCAGGTAAAAGCAACGGAGTAATTGCGTTTTCTTATATTTCCTAAATTGTTCTTAGCATTCTCCCCTCTCAATTCCTATATTCCTTTGAGCTCTCCAGGGTGATAGCGTCATGGTTCGGCTGCACAATATTCCCTCTTGGGATCAGGGGTGATCCAAAAGACCCAAACCGAAGGTAGAATCGCCCATCCTGCTTTCCATTCTCATCCCTGATCAGCTGCCCATTCCATTAATGGCTCGGAAAAGCTATTATCTGTTAACTCAAACTGCTCAATAAAAGGACAGATAACTTTAAATAGTGGGTAGATATGTAGAATCAGGGCTTTTTTTTTTTTGGTCATAGAACGCCCAGAACGGAATTCCGGCACCTTTTTTGGTTGGAACCTTGTAGGGTAGGCAAGGCGGGTTGTATGACGTGTGAGTTCCGGCACCCCCTTTTTTTTTTTTTTACAAAAAAGCACTGTGTAGAATTAACAGAATAACAGAGTTGGAAGGGACCTTGGAGGTCTTCTAGTCCAACCCCCTGCTCGAGCAGAAGATCCTATTCCATTTCAGACAAATGGCTGTCCAGTCTCTTCTTAAAGGTTTTCAGTAATGGAGCACCCACATCTTCTGACGGCAAGCTTTTCCACTGCTTAATTGTTTTCACTGTATAGGAAATTTCTCCTTAGTTCTAGGTTGAATCTCTCGATTTGTTTCCACCCATTGCTGCTTTTTCTGCCTTCAGGTGCTTTGGAGAATACGTTGAATCCCTCTTCTTTGTGGCAGCCCCTTAGATATTGGAACAGGGCTATCATCTCACCCCAGTCCTTCTTTTCATTAAACTAGACGGTTCCTCCAACCTTTCTTTGTATGTAGCCTCATCTTTGTTGCTCTTCTCTGCACTCTTTCTAGAGTTTCAACATATTTTTTATATCTTCTTTAAGTTTATAAGCAGCTTTCTATAACCAGCTGAAGGCACACATGGCGACTGAGGAGAGCAAGACCAGACTGGCTTCTTGTCCCGCCCTCTGCATGCACTTATTTACATTTTATTTTCTAACTTCCAATTGACCTCCTGCAGGCCAGACAAGGCCAGCTGAAGGGCAGGATGCAGTCTATGATATAATACGGGCAGATGCAGCTGGTGCTCTAGTATTCAGATAAACTGGATTTATATTGTGATCTCTACTTACATCTTTTTATATCTTGTTTTAGGTCCGTCTGGTGTGATGCTGTTTGGAATTTCCCTTTCAACCTCTGGTGGTATTAAAAATATATAAATTCAGCTTTTAAAATTTGTTGCATTCAAATATGAATCATTTTCCAAAACCGATTTACAATATTGCCACAATACTGTGTGAAAAAGTGATCCCACCAGCTTATTACACTTCCAACAATTTTTATAAAGAATTATCCATTTTAGCAATCAAAACTGGAGCAATAAAACATACTGATTTTCATACATACATACACACCAGCAATAAAACATACTGATTTTCTCTATAATATTTGGAATAAATTTAATATTCTTCCTTTGAAAATCCAATGTTGCATTCTAATTGCACTGCATTTAGGTTGTGCATCTATTTATCTTTGATTCTTTCGGGTTCTGAGTCATCCTTCACCAATGATTTGATTTATAAATCAAACTTAAAGAATTCCCATATTGCATATTGGTTTCCAAATTCAGCTAAAGCTTCTCTATATTAGCACTTGTTTCTGTAATTCCTAAAATGTTATGCTACTTATTTAGAGATCATGAAACCAGACCATTGTGTTTAATAGAATAGCTATGTTATAATGCATCCTTGGCTAATTTCCACATAACAGTGCTGCATTTGGGCTTTAGCTGCAAATAACTTAATTGCAGTTCTGTGCCTAAAGCAAAATGATCAATTTAGATAAATGAGGCCAATTTATGGCAATTTTGAGATGCTTAAGATAAACGTTTCAGCTTTTTTCAGTTTTATTTCTAGGAGAAATTATAGTGGGTTTTGATGGCCAAATGAGCGGCATGATGGTCTAGTGGTGAAGACACTCACCACTCATCATATTCAGAAGTTTGAGAGTTCAATCCTAGGTAGCGGCAGATGTTTCTATCCTAGTGTGTGAAGAAAAAAATACCTGCCAACTCCACATAAGCGTCAGGAAGGGCATTCAGCCAGTAAACTGCTCAGCTCCATCCAGTCGCCCCAACTCTACCCTAAATAGGGACTATAGGATCTTTAAAAGGGAGAGGGTTTTTGATGGCCAAATGTACCTCTAGGTTCGTGCCTTGGTATGTTGGACCCCAATTAGATATTGAGACAAGAAGATCATTTAGTTTATGATTTATCTGGAGCTTTTCAAGATAAAAAGGATTCTGGTTTTACAAGAGAGAGTGAGCTTGGAACATAGATTTTTATTCCTTTTTTATAGTTTGCACAACAAAGGTACTTCAAAGTAAAAGTTGATTGGTTTAGGAAAAATCATTTGCCCAATTACATCATGAAAAATTAGACATCCAATAATAGGTAAGCATAAGAATTGAAAAGAGCATTGTATTTAAAGCATAACAACTAAAATGTTAGCATGGGAAAAGACATCATGAGTCCCATAGAATTTGTTGTGAAAAGATATAATTTCAGCTAAGTTTAAACTTCTTAATGTGCACAATTGAAAAAGAAAGCCTTTTGTTATTCAGCTTGAGAAAGTTGTTATCTTGCAGTTAGTTACAGCAAGTTTGTTACTAAAGGAAAACTTTAACATTCCATTCATATAAGGTTATGTTCAAAATGCAAGCTAAATTAAAGAAACTAAACCCACGTTAGTTTGCCAGTGCAACAATAATACAAAAGCAGATTGTTCATTGCTGCTTCATCTCCTTTGCTGGCTGTTCATATATTCAGGAATTATCTTTGTCCATCAATTATCCTAGACTCCTCACTAATCAGGTAGTCACCCACAATCGACCAAAAGAGAAAGACCAGAAGTAATCTTATCAAATGCTTCAGTCACCTCCTGTGTCCAACAGTTAATCAGGCATTCATTGAAACTGCCCATAAGATATCTAAGAAACCCCTAAATACCTCCTGGAAAATATTCAGATCCATAAGACACTTGAGGTGGTCCTTCTGTTTTTTCCTTGGAGACTCTGTATGGCACTCAAACTCATCTGAACCAGGAAGTAATCTGGCAAAGCAAAATAACTAAGAGGAATGCCCTTCATTGCTGTTCAACTGCTCTCAGACAAAAGTAATATCCAGTATGTGACAGTCTATCAACTGCCACCTTATGCTTGCTTGTGTTTCACTGCTATGCATTGACAGACTGCCATAAACTGGACGGGGAATGAACAGGGATGTTTCAGGAAATGAAAGTAAATTCTGTATCTCCTCCAGACACTGGCTCAAGGTTATCCATCTGGAAACAGAGGAGCGTTTCCCGGACTACACTTGGACGGACCATTAAGAAAATATCTTGTCTGAACCTGATTGATTACACTGGGGTGGGCAATGAGAGACAGTTAAGGGAGGGAAAAGTAGAATTCAGGGATTTTGGTGGGTGATTTTTAGTTCTGGCTTTGCACTACTGCAATACACTTGATCTTTAATAAACTATTCCTTTCTCAACAAATGGAGCCAAGGATCATTTTCATTTAGAGGTTTTAAATTATGGCAGGTCTGACACAGTCTTTATTTGTTGGGCTCAAGATTGCTTGGGACAAGCCCATGATTACGATGGAGGCCATGCACTCCTGAGCAATATCTAACACATCCCTGAGGACAGGATGATTAAACTCATCCAACACAAGCATAAGGACTTCAACACTACACCTGATAGCAGCTTGCAGAAGAATCCCACTGCATAGAAGGGTAGCTGCCACGCTAATTGTTTTTTTTTTTTTTTACTTTGAACATCATGTTCACTATGGCAATAAGCTTTCCAAAATTATATCTAGCTTAATGAAACTCTGGATATCCAATATTGATGTGAGAAACAAAATAATTTCTCATTGTGATTCTGATCAAGAAGAAATGGTTCTCTGATTAGGTTGAATTTTGTTTTGAAGCTCTGCTAGGTTAGTGTTTTTTTTTAAAAAAATCTGTGATGTATTATGGGTCTAAGTGGTTCCCTGATATTTGGTGAGAAATTATCTACAGACTTGCCTAACAATAATCAGAATGTAGGGAGTTGGAGCAAAAAGCTCCCTGGTTTACACAGGGTGGTTTACCAGGAGGAATTGGGGAGTTCACCAAACAGGATAGGCGGGTGATTTCCAGGCAACCCCCACTGAATCCAGTCTGCATTTAATTGACGAGCTTTGGAATCAATGATCTAGAAACAAAACACTTTATTGTGGTGACTATTTCCCCCAAAAAATGAATTGCACATGAAACAATGAAGGGCCTGCCTGGGATCATTTGGCATTCATTCCATATGACCTGTTTTACCTTGTAACAGGTCAGTGGAACAAAACACATTGTCACGTATGTCCTTTTGTACATAATGCTTTGATGGATTGCCGGAATACAGACCCCCCCCCTCCCATTTGGCTCAAAGTAGAATGACTGCTGCAGTAATCTAGACTTTGTAAAGGAACACCAGTGATTAGTTCTCATGATCAGTTGGCCAAGCATTTAGTTCCAGAAATTATGTCAAAAGCCTCTCCTGAGCAGTGACTAGGATAAATTAGCAAATTTGTCAGTTGTCAAACTCTACTCACAAGGTAGTACATACATAGTGCATACATTTGCATCCACCTATAAATTTGCAGAACAGTGCCTGCAGATTCTTAGAGCAACCTATGAAAGGTAGATGATTCCGTTATGGTGAGTGTCTCCTGGATTCTTTTCTTTCTGCTGCTATCTCATGAATAGCTTGATTGGAGAATACTTTGTTGGAAGTAACTCAAAAGGTTTGGTTATGATATTCAGGCTTACATTTTTTAAGCTTCATAATGCTTAACCCTTTTCAGGCTGACCGCTGGTTTGATCCCCGGGACATCTCCCAAAAATAAGTAGAGATAAGGCAATAACACAAAACAATCATGTTCAAAATTAAACTAATTGAAATTGTCCCCCTTTTCTGAAAATTGCTTTAAATGTTTGAGGTTTTGTAGAGTGTTCACGAACAGTTCCGAAGGATGGGATGGAAGATTTTCCTCCACCAACTAGATAGAGTAAACCTGGAGTTGGACTTTGTCTCAGTAGAAGGATAGAGAACCCACGAGGAGTGCTAGAGATAGGAAGGCAGGAGGATCCAGACAGAGTCAATGTTGGTAAGGAGGAAAAGATGGCAGGGTGGGGAGTTCTGGGTGCTGGACCAAAATTAAGGCTGGAAAGAAACGGACTGGAAATGGTTAGGCCTTGCACCCAGTACTTACCAGCTTTCTCTGAGGAAGCCATCCCATCTTCCCTTGCTGTTCAGTTCCATAGATAGAATCGCTAAGGAAGGAAAGAAGAGAGTGCCTGTGTTTTTCTATGATAGCCCCTGAGAAGACACAGAAGGAAAGAACAGTGGTCCTGAGGTCAGGCTCATGTGCAGCTATGGCTGGAGGAACCAAATCCTAAGGGAAGGATTGTGGCCAGTGGTTTTCAATTTATTTGCATTTTTTTGCAAGAATGTGCAGTGCCTAATGTTCAAATGCAACTACCTGGTTAACAGGTTGTGCCTCTGTTAACATCCATCATAATTACTCACTAAATTTAATTTCTATTGCTTTCCTACTTTTTTTTTTTTTTTAAATTTTACAGAGGCATATTCTGGTTTTTCTTCTGATCCTTGTCCTTTTGAGAAACTTATGTGATGCTCAATGTTCTGTGAAACCAGCCAGTGGAAAGGGTAAGAATTTTGTTTTGTGATGAAAAGGAAAGGGGAAAAAATTGAAATAGTGATAATCATGGTTATTCGGATCCTCCGACTGGTTTTCTCAAACTGCAAAATAAAGCAGCATCCACAGAGGGAAATCAAAGTCTGATTCCAGTTTGATAGTATCACACAATTTCACTGCAGCTCTTTTGCAGTGTATATAACATTGCTTTCATTAGAATGATTTGTTTAATCTAACCTATCCCTGGTGAAAAGTAAACTATATTCTTGATGCTCCCATAACTAGTCACAGTACAAATAATAAAATATAACATACAAATTTAATACAATAGCTTACTCAACAGCGATACACTGGTGAAGCGGCTACAGCAACACCTGCATTTTCTGCGTCGCATGAGAAAAACACATCTTCCTTCCTCTATCCTTACCACTTTCTACAGAGGGACGATTGAGATCATCCTGTCGTACAGCATCACAGTCTGGT